TATTCAAATGCATAAATCATAAAAACTATTAACAAACTTAATTATTCAATTTCAAAAATTGAAAAACTTGAAATTAATCAAAACAATTCTCCCCAAAGAATCCAATTTACTTTATTATTCCTCATATACTTTTAATACTCACATACCGAAGAATAAAAAAAAACTAATTTTTTAATGAGAAACTTCTAAGAAAGTAGAAAAGGAAAAATGATTTCATTTTATTGGATTAATGTTTTGGTAGGATAAAAGTCAAAATAAGGATCATAAAATATAACCTTCCCTAAAAACCCCTCCCCATAATCCATACCCTTTGTTTTTCTTGCTCATAATTTTAACATATATAGCAAAATAATATTTATAAACTCAAGTACTGATGGGTGGCTGTTATCGTTATTTTTCGTTATTTTCAAGTCAATTTTAACATTAACAAGAGAATGTGGTATGAGAAGGAGGTAGTAACATTGAGTAGAAGCTCGTTTTCATATATTATTTTTGCGTGTTCATTATTATAGTAGTTGAATTAAATAATGTTATTTTATTGTACATGATTATACCGAAAATGGCTCATATATAGGTACCCAATAATAATCATATTTCACTCATAAATGCTAGAGCGCTCGACATCAAGCCTAGAAATATGAAACTCAGTATTGTTCTTGGATTTTTTTTCTTCTCTCCTTTAAATGAACATAGAGCTGAATTATCCAGAGAATATAGGCAAAAAAATGAGCGAACGTTAAAGCGTCTATTATTAATACACAATTTCATTTTTTTTTTAAAAAAAAGTATTATTTGATCGATAAAATTCAACTCGCCCCTACCCCCATCCATTGTCTCTCACCCCTCTCTTGACTTTAACGATAATATAAAAAAAAATCGCGGTGTACAAATATAACATAACATAGTACCATAAATGAAGATTGCTCGGTCTTGGTCTATTGTTGGTTTTATAGTTCTTTTTATTTTCTGCCTTGTTTGAGCGAAATTCAAGTAAATGTATACAAATTATATATTAGACGTAATAATGAACAGATATATTGAAAAAGTTGAAAATCCATAAAGTTAATTTCAAACAAAAGTTTCCGTTTTTATTTATTTATCCATATTTTTATATTTTTTTTTTGGAAGTACAATTTAAAAAATTGGTTTTCGAAACGACTGCTTAACACGAAGATTTGAGCACTGATTACAATGTGCACAATGACTGGCACAGCTCAATTTGTGAATAAAAAAAATAAACGAAAAAAAAATACATTTTTATGTTCTACCTCTTTCCACTATTGCCTGCTCGTCACTTAATGCTTATCCTTTTTACGATGATTTTCTGATTTCATTTCATGACCATTAAATTTGTTTTTGTTTAACTTTTGCAGCCTTTGTGCTGTTATTTTACATATTTTAAAGTCCTCTAAGTTTTATTTGAGGATAGTTTTTTCAAAGGGATTTTAAACTGACAATAAATTCGACAAATAATTGAATTCTAGTTTTATGAAAAAATTCAGTTTCTGAACTTTTACAAAGTTACTCCCTCCAAAATATGCAAATTTAATCAAATGAAAATTCTGATGAGCAATCGTATAAAATTTCCATTAATTTATCAATTCAATTAATATTATTGACGTCAAGTAATTAGATCGATTAGTTATCTAAAAATATTTAAAAATAAAAAAACTAATTTTGATAACATTTTTCAATTTCCAGTAAATCTAATTCAGGTTTTATTTCTGTCAAAACAAATTAGTTGTCATTTCTAATTTGTCAAATAAAATGCATTTTATTAATTGCATATCAATTAATTTTTATCCTAATTGAAATTTCATATTTCAATAGTTTTCGGCTTTTTAACAAATCAATCAGTTGACAATTTTGTTTTTCAAAAATTATCATTGTATTGATGAGAAGATTAAATGGACTTAACAAGTGATATTTTTTTTGTTTAGATAATTGCGTAATAAGTAGGTCAGTGAGAGATTTATGAATATAGAGTGGGCTATTTTTATTGCTTTTAATTTGACTGAATATTTAACAATTGTTTGAATTCAGTCTTCTCGGCTTGGATTTTGTCCCCTCAGATCATACAAAATATCTGAATTTCCGTTAAAATTTCAAAATTATTGAAAACTTCTATACTCTTGGTAAATATTTTATCTACTCAGAATTACAATTTCTCTCTTCAGAGTTTCACATGGCATTACATTTTTGATCTTAATTTAACTTGAACATATCCTATAAAATGTTGATTCTGAGTCAATATTCAGTAATCAGTAGGAATCAACTGTTCATAAATCAAAGAATTCAACTTAAAGTTGAATGAATTGTCGAGAGATTTTCCATTAATTCAATTAAAAACGCAAGAGTACGTGATTATGCGAAAGTTCTTGATATTAATACACATATTACTGCCATGTCTGATGAAAAATGCACTCGTTCCATTTATAATAAATAATCGTGATAATTAATAACAGTAACTATGCAAATAAAGCATAATTTTCCTTTCACAACACAACTCAACATAAGAGATCGATGATGATGTCCAATAAGTGTAATGAAATTGATAGACAATCAGTACTCATTTTCAGACCCAACAGAAACAAAAATGTTGTCGATTGAATGAAAACTTTTATCTTAATTTACTGTGGCTGTCGACTTGCTTGAGGCATTTCAAAGAATAAATGGCAACATACTCGTATAGGAACAAAGGAAATACCAGAAAAAAGTGAGGAATAAATTTCTCCTCTGTGTGTACAAACACATTAACATTTCACAATGATTGCTCGCGATTTTCAAAGCAAAAGCAGCAACAACGAAAAAAGACAGCATAATGAGGGACGAAGGGGGTGAACGCAACCAACGAAAAAAATAAATAAATATGGAATGGGAAGTATTAGAGAATCACATGACATGACGATGGACAAATGAGTGAAAACCGAGTACTATCTGCAATTAATTATCGGACATAATGGTTTCACTACATAGCCATAAGTTTTTTTCTCTCTCTCACTCTCTCTCTCTCTCTCTATGTTCATTCAATGTCTTTGTTCACATTGGCAAACATTCACTATTATACAGACATTAAATAAAGACAACGTCTCCTCAATGCCTAGCGAATCGAAGCATACAAATCGAATTTTCTGTGTTTAGTTTGATTATGCGAAAATTCCATCGATTAATTTTTAGTCGATAATTTATATTTTTTTCCCCAAAAATCTATTCTACTTAAAATGATGATTATGATGGTTAGGATAGATGTGACGGTGGTCGTCTAATTTTATAATTTGATTGTTTGCAATTCTCTTCCTTTTCAATAATGTGATTTGCTTATGGCAATGAAGAAGCACCAATAAACAACAATAAGCCTTCCTATTTGTACTTTAAAAAGGATTTATTGACGTGATTTTGACGTTAATTCGACTCAAATTTCGCATTTTAATTTTTTTTTTGTTCTGCCTTTTTTTCTTCTCTTCATTATGACTTATTTTTGTGGGTCTTCAGTATTACAATATGAATTATAGCTTTTCGCTAAACGAGGCAGCGCAAAAAGAAATCACACAAAAAAACACAAGAATGAAAAGAAAATGAAATGTCGGAAAATTACTTAACCCATTTAATTGTTATTAGGAACAGTGAATGGAGAAAGAACAAAAAGAATGAGAGGCAATAGAGGAGAAAAAAATATAGGAGTGTAATGTGCCTTATTCATAGTTGTTATACTTAATAAATTAATATAGTAATTTTAGCCATTTATTCCTCTCTGTTAAAATCCATAAAGTGAGTTACAGTTCTTATTGGATATATGGTGGATTAGACTGTCAGGTTGTGAACCTAGCTGTTCAGTTTATATATGAATAATATCCGTAGTGACACAAGAGTTCAGATGACACAATGGTTAAGGTATCTGACAGGAAATTAGAGGTTCCTCCTCTTTGGGATCTGGGTTCGAGTCTCACCTGAGACAACTTGATTTTCTATTCTTCAGAGATTCTCAGAATCAGTTGGGGTATTATTTCTAGGTGTATCAGTGTTGTAGTTACTATGGAACAGAAACGTGAACAAGAACTTATTGTACTGCGACCTGAATCTAGAAAAACTAAATGATCAAAGGCCACAAATGCTCAATAGACTATAGCATGTGGCCACAACTCTCCCAAACCCTCTCTAATAAGCACACCATAAACCCCCCAAAAAATCATAATTTCACGACTTGATTTCCTAGTATAAATATCCAACAAAAAAATAAAAGAGAATGGACAGCGTGTTTTCCTACATGCATTTAAATGATAGAAAAAAAAAGACTTTTAATTCTGAAAAATTTCCTTCTTTCTTCTCATGAATGATGAAAAGTGTTTTTTTTTGGTTTTATGAAAATAAGGTGTATTTATAGATACACAAAAAAAAATCTAAACGATAAATAGAATATTTTCCCTTTTACATTACTTTAATGTGCCATGTCGACTTTAATGCCTCACTCGCGCCGCGTTCTTTGCTCACTCTTCTTTTATTTTCCATTCTAGTTAATTTATTTTACGAAATATCACATTGAAATATTATTTTATGTACGCACAACGAGTAGTCGAATGAGTGATGATATTTTTGGATACGATATATAAAAAAAATTTGAGAAAGAAATAAAAGCAATGACGATAGAGGAAGGAATGAGTGAGTGAACGAATTGAGGAGTATTTTAATTTAAAGTACAAATTTATTAATGTCTTTCTAGTTTTTCTTTTTTTTTTGATGGCGTAAATGATTTTCTTCTCTTTTTTCGTTGCCGTTGTTTGATTGTAAATCATAAAATTAATCTGGTTCCTGCCTTTATTCTCAAATCTCTTTTATCTCCACTCGAAAAATTATTGCTTGACATTTTCTCATATTTACATACGTTTTTATAATTTGTTTCGGCATTTATGCTGACTATATGCACTTTTCACATTCTACGCTTAAAATGTTTATGACTCTTGTTAAAAATTTAATTCCTTGTTCTCATTTCTAAACAACTTTAGTTCCACGCAATTCTATACAGCATAATTCAGCTCATTTCAGCAAAATGCAGCAGAATTTAGCCCAACTTAGTGCAGCTCAGGACTATTCAGAACAAATGAACGGTAATGACATCAATTTTAAATCATTCCTTAAACTGAATAGTATTCAGCTAGATAAATCATAAAACTTTTAACTAGGGGATATTCACAAGTGACGTCAAATGGAATCTTTGGTTTTTAGACATCATACTTGACTCTGTGTCATAAAGTTTTTATATTGAGATGTCACACAGATACTGGATCTGAATCTTACAAGTAGACGTCATTTATGAACGACACTTAGTGTTAAGTCATAAATCACGTCCACTGGTGGATGTTCTTGGACCTGTTTGACACTAAATAGACTAAAATTTGGTGATATAAGTGAAGTAAAGTTTAAAAATATTTTTTCAAAAAACATCATTTGTGAACGAGCCCTCAATTTATTGGCGAAAATTCAGAAAACAAAAATTAATCAATTGAGGAACAATTAAAAATCCTTAAAAGTTTTCCTCCATCTCTACAGTCACCAAAATTAATTGAAAATTGGACTGTATTGATGAGAGCGATTAATCGACACGTAAATTATTCCAACCACATTCAACGCTGCTTAATTTAATTTAATTAAATAATTTTTTTCATTGTAACAAATATATCGAGCGAGTACTGACATGCTATTACTTTATATCGGTTACATGACTATGAAAATTAATTATATTATTCTTAATAAGCAATTTTCTTCAGTATTAATGATTTCTGATTGTTCACTTTTAAAAAAAGACGTCTGAAAAATTTTCCTCGTAATTTTTTTTATGATTTTCAAAAATTATTAAAAATTATTTTTTAAAAAAGTTTGAAAGAAAAATTGAAATTTTTTATGATTTTTTATTATTTTAATCCCCCCGATTCAAGCCCCAAAATGAGGGGCAATGTGAGTGCTATTGTCATAGAAAAAACAAGATTTTTTTAATGAGTGCTGATGGTAGGCATTATATGTAGTGTTAATTTGATGAGCACGCTTGTGACATAAATCATCTCACATTGCCTTTCGAAAAAAAAAATCAAGAATGAAAGAAAGAAAAAGAAGAAACGAAGAAGACAAAAAAACTCTATTTTTAAGTATCCAAAATGTAGACTTTTTAGTACTTTTTATTATTTTTTTCTTTACATCAATTGGTGATTGATTAATTAGTTTGTTTCTATTTGTTTTATCTTCATTCTTCTCATCTACATTATTTTTTTTGAGAAATTTATGAATGAATATGAAGCAACAAGAGCACTTTTAATAGAAATACGGAAAATTTTAATACTTTTAACCCATTTGTAATTGATTTTTATGTGAGACCTTAAAAATACGACCGTGATCTATTGAGAATTGAAAATAATAATCTGAAAAATTCATTGACTATAATCATCGGATCTAATTGGCATAAACAAATGAAATGATATGTTCCTGTCTCGGTATTTAAATAAACGAAAAGGTGATTCTCTGGATGATGTGAACTTTAGATTATGAATGAGATTGAAATGTTTTGACTTGAAGAGAGCGTGACTTGCAGGATTTTATAAATATTAATCTTGTTTTGTAGACAGAAGGGAAATTTTCATATTTTTTTGCCACTACATTGCTTGTTGTGGCTTATATAAGTGCTTCTAGTTTAAAATTCAATTGAGTTTAGGTTGAAGTTAAGATTCTAAGCTTTTGAATTGTTATGTCTTCAATTTCCATCAAATTCTTATTTTGGAGCTTTATTTTTGATTATTGTGGATTTGATTGCTATGAAATGATAATTTCAGACTTTTTAATTTATTTGGCGATTGTTTGATTCCAACTTTTAGTCAATGCTAATCAAATAATTCAAAAATTTACTTCCAAACTTTAAAATTTAATTCAAAACTTTGCAAAAAGTTCAATCCACTTGCAAAAATTCAAAAAGCTTCAAATTTAACTGTTTTTGCCATTCAGTATATCTAATCACAGCTCATCCAGTGAGTCACAAAATGACAATCTTTGGTTTCAAATCACTTCTTTCGCTTAGTTTTGCGTTTTTAATCAGCAAAAAATAAAACAAAGTCGAAAGAAAATTAATTGAATTAATTTAAATTCATTTTCTCTTTCTATCTCCTTTCCGTTAATTTCTTTACATCTTAAAATATTGATTAAAAAGAGTTTCAAGAAAGAAATCAAAACCAATTTAGAGAAATGACATCGTAAAGATGTTAAATATTGAATACGCGATGAAACTATCAGAAATTAGATAATATACTTAATACGTAGAAAAGACTCTTAAGTATGTACTAAATTTTGATAGCAACTCATACACATTGTCAAAAGATAGGACTGTAAATGAATCCAAAATTCCAAAAAATGAAATAAATTCAAAATTAATCAAAAAATTGTAACAAAAAAAAATAAGATCAAGGTCGGACTCGATGGGCGATCAGAAATCATCTAATATTGCAATCATAAATGCTTGATTGCAGATGCTCAACAACATTGTGTTGCCGTAATCAAACAAGAAATGCACGATGACGACAATGATGATGAACATCATAATATTGATAATAATTCAAGCGATAATACAAATGTACATAATTTATCAACAACAAATAACAAGGGTCTAGATGTCGCCCATGAGTCCGCGGGCCTTTCAACAACGATCGCTGCACTGCAGCAACAAACGAAACAGTTTCGTCAGCAACAGGAAGAGATTGTGAATAGATTGCATAAGGCTGTATCCGATAACTTGAAATTAATTAATCAGGGCACGGAAAGTGGGTGTAATGGGAATACATTTGTAAGTAGTAATAAGCAACAACAGCAACATCAGCAAGACGATTCGTGCGCCAATCATAATCTTAATCTTAATATGAATTTAAGTGCAAACAGTAGGTTCACAGTGAGAAACTTTAATGGAAATACATCGGAATTGAAAATGTGTCGCCTTAATAAAAATAAATTAAATAATGCGATTCAACAGCATCAGCAACAGCTACATGCTAGTGTAACAAATGATCTCTTTTCAAGTCTTATCGATAGTAATAATGATGATAATAATAATAGTAGTAGTGATTTAATTATGAATGATGAGAGCAATGCCGATGGCAATTACTTATTGCCATGTCCATTATGTGAAATTCCATTAGAACCACGTGTCTTTCGACAACATTTAGATCGGCATTATCCGCGCGATAGTCCTATATGTCCCGTATTGCAATGCGGACGTAGATTTGCTCATCCAAATAGTGTACGAAATCATATGCGGTTAAAACATACTGTTCAATGGAATCGAATGAAATCGATGAGATCGAGTGGTGGCCCTTTCTCATCGTTACCATATTAATTGATATTATTTGTTAGTTTATTTTGAGTTATCTTGTAAGAATCGGTGATATTTGAGAATTTAAGCCAAAGAATTAAGCGAGAATCAAGTTTTAGTTTTGATTTTGTTCTTTGTGGACATTAAGGCTCATACTTTTAGGTTATGTAAGGGATATTTTAGCATTACGCTGAATTCATGAGCCTTGATGGGAGTCTTGAAGGAATTTTTAAGGATCATTGATCAAAGAATCCTTCAAAATACTTTCAAGACAAATTGTTACGAGCCATAGAAGTTATGATTATAAAAAAGGAAAAAGAAATGAAATTCATAATTATGCAATATTAATTTTACTCGTTTTAACCCCTCTTAAAGTCACTGACGTATAATTTATTTAATTAATCTCATGCGATAGTTCCTATACAATTCCTTATTATATAAAGAAAACTTAATTATTATGCTATGTAGTGTACGATAAAGTCATGACCAATTTCTTTGAACTCCTTTTTTTTAAATTCTATTTTATTATTGGAAAATGTATCAATTCATCATTTTTAAAATGAGTGATGTAGCATAATTAGCTTTTATTTTGCACTGTCTGCAAAGTTTTTGAATCATTCAATTATTTCATATTGAAAGGATGAAAATATAATTGGCATTAAATCAATTTTAAATGATTAAGAGTTTGAATTTAGATGAACTTGTTTTTAATTTGATTTTACTATTGGAATTGATCAATTAATATGCCATTTCTTATTTAAAATTATTAGTAATTTAGCTACAGAAAGTTTGATGATTTTTTAACGGAAATTTTTTTTAAAAAAATTAAAGCATAAAATTTGAATTTCAAAAATCCGTTAACAGATTTTCATGTAAATTTTGAGTTTTTCCTGTAGATTTTACACAATTTTTCATCAAATCAGTTAGAATTGCAACAAATAATGGATAAAATCTATAACTAATCAAATAATTTACTTTCAATTCCAGTGATAATTTCCAAAAAAGTAAGAAAATAATAATTTAAAATATCATAACTAAGCATATATATTCAGGTTGTTATTTAATTTTTATCCAAAATGAATACAACTTATTTTACATTCCAAAAATGAGTTCAAACATTCCTCCCCAAAAGAAAAAATCTAAATTGTGAAGAAACAGTGTTGATGATTGTAAATCGAAACTTTAAAAAAAAATATGAAAAAAGTAAGACAAAAAATTAATTTTTGTATTTGAAAGATAGAAAAACTCTTTTTGGAAAGAAACAACAAAAAAAAAATAAAATAAAGTAATACGAAGAAAAAAAAAAGAAATAAAACTTAACCAAAATCGTTGATTCTTAAAATCGCATTTTAACCAAATTAATTTCATTTTTCAATTGGTTTTGATTTCGTTCTAAAATTAAGTTTAAAAAACCACAAAAAAATTAAAATTTTCTGTTTGTCTGATTCGTGAAAATTCTTCTTCTTTCTGAATATTCGCCTCCCAAATTGTCATGGCATGTTCAAATTTGCTCATTTACAGTTTCTCGTCGTTCTTTAGAGATGCGCGTTCGAGCTACGGATCCTCGTCCATGTCCAAAATGCGGAAAAATCTACCGTTCAGCACATACATTGAGGACACATCTGGAAGACAAGCACACAATTTGTCCTGGATATAGATGCGTATTATGTGGAACTGTCGCCAAATCTCGTAACTCTTTACACTCACACATGTCACGTCAACATCGTGGAATCTCAACAAAAGACCTGCCAGTGTTACCAATGCCGAGTCCATTCGATCCAGACCTAGCATCTAAATTACTTCAGAAAGCTGGAGTTTCAATATCAGCAGCAGAATTACGTGCACGAGCTTCACCAACTGGAACTAGACGTTCAGACATGAAAATGGATTTGAGATCTGGCGATGACAGTGATGTTGATGATGCTGAAGATTTGTCAATGTCACACAGTGGAAGTAACAAATTTAATCCAGGATATTCACCTAATCGTAAGTTTTGACTATTACTTTATAGCTTAACATGCGACTAATATTATGAATTTTTAATCCACAGCATTCAGTCATCCAAGTACAACAATAACACGCGTAAGACAAGATGCACAAAAAATGATGGAAGCACAAAAAGATAATCAACTTCAAGGTTCAGGATCAGCACTTCTCGATACTTATTTACAATTCATCACAGAAAATTCTTTCGGTAAGTTCCACTAAAAAGACAATTGAATGCCAAATTAATTCAACAAAATTTTGACAAAAAAAAAACAGGATCAATGGGAATGTCACAGGAACAGGCAGCAGCCGCCATTCAAGCAGCAAAATTTGCACAAAAAATCGCACTAGAAAGAAATCTCGATAAGCTTCCGCCAAATTTTTTCCCTCCACAACTCGACATCTCAAAGATCGCGGGCATGAATGAAGCAACAAAAAATCTTAATTTACCAAACGTCACAATTGAGCCGGCAAATCATTCCTCCGGTCATAAATCACACAATATGTCAGGTAGCAGTGGACTAGACATTCGACGTAGTGAAACATCCGATCGCCATGAAGATCGTCACTCGCCACAACAAAATTCAATGAATATTAATAATAATAATAGCAGCAATACAAATAACAATAATATAAATAATTATAATAAGGAAGAAAGTTCCGCAGATGAGCGTAATATGTCAGATGACGAGAGCAGCATTGCCGTTAATTGAAATTATCAATTATCTTTATCACTTCCCGTGTCATAGTTGGAGGATGTTCTTTGCTTTATTTGTGTATGTTTTGGCAACCGGAAAGTACAAAAATAGGTCACAAGAAACAACTATATTATTATACATAAAGGAGAAAGAAACAAAACTTTTTGTAAGTTGCATTCTCATTCATATAGTCGTGTATGAAACAAATTTAATAAGTATGTAGGTGGGACAACATCACATTGGATATAAAATAATATTATTTTTTGAAATAATCATCATGAAAATGTAGAAACAAAATTATTAAAAGAAAAAATTCACAAGGATATACATAAATAAGACATACAACATATTTAGGCAAAATGTCACAATGGTATATGAAAGTTATACGAAAGAATATATTCATTTTATACACCTCAGTTAAATTATTAAAATCGCCTTTCAAAAATTGAATTCTTGTATACTGACTACATGTATACGCAGATACTTACATGAAATGATCATTATGATGAAATTTACAAACTTTGTTAGATGAAGTGTTAAGAAAAAATAATTAAATGAAGTGAATTTTTGTAAAAAGAATTATTAGAATTGAAATCTGTAGGCCATATTCTCCATGTAAGGATGCATTCGTAAAGTCTTGAAGAGTTTAGATTGTTAACGGTTATTTTTATTTTGAACGTTTTGAGATTATAAAATTACCAAGATGATGAAATTTTAAGGAATTATTTTCTGAGATGATGCAATTTAAAAACCTTTAATTACCGAGAGGATGAATTTTGTCATAAAAATATTACCAAGATGGCAAGTTTTAATTCCCTAGAAGACGCAAAATTTTCAAATTAAAAATAACCGTTATAAATTTAGAACAAGTCTTTATGAATAATTTTTTGATTTTTTGATAAATTTAAATTAAATAAAGAATAAATGTATAGTAGTGAAGGCGAAAAAGCAGCAGAATATCGAATGCAACATGAATAATAAATTTATAATTTAAAAAATATTAAATGTGCCATCAAGAAGATATAAAAAAAACTTGGCAAGGTGTGAAAGAATGAAAAAAATGACGCATAAAAGTCCTTGTCGATAAAATAAACATAAAGAGATACAAGAAATATATTAATTATTACTATAGATACATAAATAAGCTTATAAATGATCTTTACATGAAACAAAAAAGTGAAAAATGAGCAATATTGCATTTTTATACACAAAAGTACACTTTTTAAAAGAATTAAAAAAAAAATCGCAATCATAAATTCCATAACTACCTCATGTTAATTACCTCAATTTATTATATTTTTTTTTGAATAACTTGTTTTAATTCTTTCAAATGCCGGTAATGTAATGTTGAAATACCTCACTTTTAACACTTTGAAGAATGATAATCAACAGTATCAAGAAACATAGATGAATATTTAAAATTATATAGACTATAGTAGAACTATAACATTTCACATAAAAAAAAAGAAAGAAAACTCAGAACTTTTATTAGAAAATGAAAATACCTCAAAAGAACAAGATTCTTTTCTCATAAAATACAATTTTTTTTCTCTCATAGTGTAGATATTAGGATGAACATGATAATGATATTTAGCAATTAATGAAGAAAAACAAAATTCAAATTATTTACACAACAAACATGTTATTTATGGCAATAATGGATTATGAATTTCATTTGAAACGAAACTTTTTTTTAAAAAAATCCCGTGAAATTTCACGAATTAAGAGTCAAGACAAATGATAATAAAAATGCATAAACTAATGTTAAATGAAGGTTAAGGATTTCATTTGAAGGTTACGATTATTCAAAATTTTCACGACATCCATAAGAAGTGAGAAGAAGTCGACAAACTTTTTCGATAGAAAGTCAATTGAAATTTTATCACTAGTCCTTGATGTAAACTCTTTCAACAAGTATAGCTTTGAATAATAAATAACATTCTTCTTTTGACCTTAACTTGACATCCATAACCTTCAATCAACATAATTTTGTGTCAAACCGAACAATTATAATCACAAAACTACCTCAAAACAATCAGAAATTTACCAGATGATTTACACAAAGTTAATTTTCATAATCCCAGAATATTTTACTAGTGCAGGATTTTGATGCTTCGATCCAACAAAATATCAATAACAAGCGTCAAAGTCTTGCACATCAAACCCACCCCTTGACAAAAAAAAAGAGATTTGTGTAAAAATAAATGAAAATATTAGTGATGAGCTTTGCATAGCTTTTAAAAAAGCTCTTAGATGAGATATTTAAACAAAAATGAGAGAAACTGTTTTATCCCATTTTGTAGATTGATATTGAAAAACTAAAAAACACTAGTATACAGAATATTTTAAAACAATCACGATTTTTCATAGAAAATTGAATTTTTTGAGATTTCTCGCGCGTATACGAGCAACAACAAAAACTTTTTTTAAACAAATTTTCACAGAAATTTTATTTAACTGCTGAAAAACTAACTTGTCGAGAATGAAAGGCAACAAAAAGTTTATAGTTTTGAAATCAATTTGTTTTCTGTCTTCCTCAATTTGCAGTAACACGCCTATATACCACGATTTACATATTCAATGCTATACAATTCTATTTTTTTCATTATTTTTCAAATATTTGTTTACCATCAGACATTGATCAAACAAAATCGGAAAGAAATTTCTTTCTTTTTGACTCTCTTTTTATTTTTTTCATTTCATTCATAGGCACTTTTGCACATGAATCTTCCAATTTTCTTTTCTTGTTTGTGTGTACTTTTCCTACTCATCCTTAAAAACTTACATGCAAAAGTTTTCCTTGCCTTCATTTTATTCATTTACAACAAGAATGAACTGAAATTATACGATTGTGAACAAAAAAAAGTTTTCCATTGAAACTTCCGAAAAAATGTGTTTTTTGATACTTTTTAGACATTCAATTGGATGGTTGCTTAACATTCTTGCATTTTGGAAATGTTTAACGATTAAAAAATGATTTTGATTTGATTCAACTCGAGTTATGCAAGTTTTACGCTACTTTGAAGCTTAACACAGCTTCTTTGAAGTTAAGTAAAGTTCTTCTGAACAAAAATTCAAATCAAAATCTTCCCAATTTGCAATAGCAAGCAAACATCCAGAATTTCAAGCAATCAACCAAATATAAACATCATGCAAGAATTTATTGAGAATCGTGCAGAGGTCGTGTCATTTTTAAACTGTATACATATAATAAAAACTTCTGTGTCAATTATTTGTCAGATTTAAAAGTTACTTTCAATAGTCGGAAGAAAAGCACCATTGATAATGCATTGTTACCAATATTCCGTTTATATGTTTTTTAATATTATTTTTTTTGAAAGATTTTTTTTTATATATATTTTTAAAATGATAGGTTTTTTTATATCGAAATGATGAAAATGGAAGATTAGAATTTGTGAATGGAACGAATAATGCAGAATTTTTTAAGGAATGAGAACTGTTGCAATTATTTTATGTAACGATTTTTTGGTACTCAAGGAATCAATGAATTTCAATTAATTTATAGAGCTTTTTAAGGATAGCAGCTCTAGTTTTGTTTAATCTTGAGTTTATCAGAGCTTTTAAGGTTGTCATGTACGCTGAGAGTTTAATTTCAACCTGAAGACAACCTGAAAAGTTCTTAAAAACTTAGATTTTAGCAAAATTTTGAAAAACTTTAATTTTGAATTTTTTAACTGTACTTAAAAAGAAAGTTTAATCTACCATTTAATGGAATAATTTTAGCGAACTAATAAAAGCATTTTTATATTTTTGATTTGATACAAAAATAAAACCTATTCGAAAAAATTAGAAAATTATATAAGGATAAAAAAAATTAGTAGAGTTTGAAAAAAAAATCAACATAAAAGCAATTTGAATCTCATTTGTCGTAACTTAGAAAATGAAAAAACAAAAAAAAAAATGATTGTGAGCTGAAAAATATTTTTTAAAAAAAGAATTTTTTTCTCTTAAATTTCAGCTTCCTTTGTGTGATAGAATTTTTCAAAAATATTAATGAAATTTATATTAAAAAAATATATGATTACCTTAAATGCCCAATGTTAAAAATTAATTAATTAACTTTGTAGAGAAAGTTCAAGACAAACTTGTGCCCAGTGAATTCTCTTAAAAGAAGCGTAAATGCACGAAATTTTAATTATTTGTTGGATTTTGAGGTTATTTGGTTTACCTTAACTTCATTTTTTAATGAATTTTAATTTGAATTTACCTTTTTACAATATTTTTGTAAATAAAATGCCATTATCAGCCATTCACTGCATAAGGAAAAAAAAATTACCACAAAACAACATTAATTTTAAGCGATTAGATTACTTCTAAGTAAAAAATTGAAGATTTGCCTTAATTACATTTTATATTATTTTTAAAAATATATATTTTCCCTCTCGATTAGTTTAACTTAGAGTTTTTGATAAAAAATTATTAATTTTATTTTGACCTTTTTTTTAAGATTTATTATTTTTATTTTGAAAAAAAAAACTTAGATTAAAGAGCTTGAGTCTCACACTTAATTTTATTATTTTGTAATCAAAATTATAAAAATAAGAAAGTATGAAAAAATTAATAAAGTTAATTTGAAGAAAATTTATGATTTTTTATTGTTTATTTACCCTGTTTTTTCGTTATAAGCTAGTAGCTTAGAAGAATAAAAAAGTGATTTTTTTTTTGGCTCACTAGTAGCTTAGTAAAGAAATTGAACTTCTATGAAAATTTTGAATTTTTTAACTTAATTAAAGAAATTTTGCTATCTTCTCGATTTCATTTCATTGACAATGTCATTAGGCATTGAAACTGATACTTAGAAAGTTGAAAAAGATTAATTAAACTTTATTTTTGGTAGTACCTTATTAAAGATTACAAAAAATTTTCAAGTTCAAAAAAACTTTACTAAGCTAGTAGCTTATAACGAAAAAACAGGTTATTTATTATTTTCAAGATTTTTTTAAACTTCATTCCAGTTTATCCTTAATTTTTAACAGATTTGATTTCATTTCATTGGCTTACATTAATTTTTCAAATAATGTGCACAAAACCAAAAAAACTTCCATCACAGCACAAATATCTTTTTGAGAAATTGGGCATAACTACTTCCATGTAAACGAAAATAATTTAAAACCTATAAAACTCGATTCAATTTTACATGAAGTGAACTTCTTACTTGACTCATTGAAATATTGGCTAATTCTTATTTAAGGAGTTTTTCAGTTTCTTTTTGGTAGACGCCATTTAAAAACTGAAGCTTTTCTCTCTTTTAAATGTTGTTCTTAAAACCATAAATGTGGATTTTATTGATGCATTAAAATCCAAATGATATGATTAATTTTGTCTATACAGACAGATTGATTTTTTGCAAATCTACAAAGTTGCATGATCCTGGGCAATATCAATGCAATGTACCTAGCCAAAATTTGCACATTGCAAATTACTTAATGCCGAATTACGAGCATAAAACTACTCAAATATGCTCAAATACGTCTAGATATTTTCTAGGATCGAACCAGAGTCGTTACACTTTAATCCACTTCCAGAAATGAACAACTTAACTTAACAGAAAATGATTTAATTTAGCTACTAAATCTGAATCTATAATCATCAATCTATTGTATATTAATGGTAGCAAAGGAAAAGCCCACTCATGTAAAATTGAAAGATAAAGAACTTCCAAAAAAGATATTCTTCCATTCTAAACTAATTTAAAATAGGCAAAAATTTTTGTTTTCCTTCTTTTGCGTAAATGAGCAAGAAATTGAGGTGTGCCTTTTTTGAAACAAAAAAAAAATTAAGAAAATAACTTAAAAAAACATGATAAATACTTAGTCGATAATTATTGATATAAACTAATTAATTTTAAATAGTTCAAAAAGATGAAGTAAAAGAAAACTTAACAAAAAATTTATTGATGTAAAATAGATGACTAAAATGTGTTGTGTGACGCTTTAAATTGAAAGGAAGGAAGTTAAATTATGTCGATGGCATTTTTCAATATTATGACAGGGATAAGTGGATGGAATGCAATAAAATAAAGTTGAAATTTGCCATAAGTAGTAGACAAAAGCGTAAAAAATTAGTTTATGATAACTGATGTAATTGCTTGTTAAGTTAATAAAAATGACAAAATTAAAATACAATTCAAAACATAAGCAGATGACGAATAGAACAATTAAAATAATGACTTGATTGATTTTCAGTATTTTTTTTCATTTTAATTGCACTTTATTGCATTTATTGACGATATACTGTCCGGTAATAATTCACATTTTACACTTTTGTATTTGTATACATATGAATTAGTATTATGAAGGATCAAACTGCTAATTTTCAAATCTAGGTTTCAAATAAACTAAGGCTCTTGTTTCGATCTTCTGTAGGCGTGACGTGATACTTTTCAGGTCCGTTCTAACAATATTCCCCATTCGTGGGTAATCTTGTAGCTCTCGTTCCTATTTCTCCCGCTACACTTCAAGTTCCTGACCCGTTCCTTAATCCGACGTTGCCCAAATGCCCAATTATGGCTTAATCTCCTACATTAAGCAGTCGAAGTATCTAAACTACCGAAAAAGAACAAATTTGGAAATGGCTGGATTCGAACCGACGACCTTCGAGTTACCATCCCAAATTTGAGCCAAGCGCCTTACCTATTCGACCAGCAAGGCACTTAACTGCCAGTATTCAATTGACTTACCTGACTTCCTCTAAAATATTGATTAGTGATTACAACTCCAGCATCTACATTTCTTTGTTACATTTTATTCATTAATAGAGTGCAACAAAAGGGATTTATATTATTATTATTATTACATGTTTATACCAGTTTAAACAGTTAGTAAACTTCCAACGATCTCAAATCGTTTCATAATAAGTATGAATATATTGAAATTAATGAAAAACAGCATTTATAAGAATTCATCATTACTAATTAATTTCTCTACATTAATGCTCCAATATCCATTAAAAGAAATAAACGATATACTCAAGGTAAATGTCCTAAACATTTTAAAAATAAAAACATAAAAAAATTATTAAAATCATTTATAGATTAGACCTTAGTTTAAATCTCTGCTTGCTTCTTCATCAATCTTTTATCACATTTTTCATTATCAATTCTTTAACTTGCACGACAGATGCTGTCCGGTCCAATACCAAACTCAAATGAATCATTCTGCATATGACCTTGATTCTCTGCAACCAAATTATCCACAAGATTTGACTCGACTCTACACTTTTCTGATTCGTTCTGGAAATAATCAATAATCATTAAGTAAAAGTTTGATAAAATGAAAAATTTAATGCTTACAGAAGTCCGTGGACTCCAAAGAGATATTTCATGATCGATGCCAGACGATGCAATCAATGGAAGTGTTGGATGTGGCTGTACACAGTTAACAATAGCTTTATCTGACTTATAAACGCCTCGCAAAATGTTTGTCTTTCTTTCCCACATATAAAAGTTTCCTGAAAAGCATAAAAGTCATAAAATATTCAAAATAATCATGCATTTACAGCAAGTACCATCATCAGATCCAGCCACAATATATTCGCCATTTTGTCCAAAGAAGTTGGCTTCCTTAATATCAGTTTTCGTATTACAATGACCAATGTATCGTTGACTATAGTCTTTAGCTGCATTCCTCCAGAACTAAAATTGACAAAATAAAGCATCAATCACATTTGATGACTCGCACAAAAAGGTTATCGCTTACAAGTTCCTTTTCAGATAATTTTTCAGGGTTTGAGTCACGACTGGGCGTTGTACGGTTACTTAATGCTTGAGTAATGTCTTGTTCCAACATTCTCACGCTCTGATCAGTTTCGTGTGATGTAAATCTCATTTTCAGTTCTCTTAAGCAGTCATTACTGAGAGTCAATTGATTAATTTCAAAAAGTGATCGAGCTAATCGAAAGTGAGCTTTAATATAATGTGGATCTAAATGTAAAGCACGGTGGCAATCACGCAATGCTTCATAGACGTCACCAAGATATTTTCTACGCATTAATGCTGTTGCACGATTGAGATAAAGAACTGGATTATTTGGTGCAATTTGTATAGCTTCTGTATACTTTCTTATAGCCTGAATATAATTTTCATATTCTAAAAGCTCATTTCCTGATGCTTTTATGGAATCAGCTTTTTCATTTCTTGATGATTTTGGAGCAGGTTCAGGCGGTAATCTTGGCAAATTTAGGTATATTGGTGCTTCAGCTTTGTCAATGTCAAACAAATAAATTTGTTCTGCACCATAATTAACAAGCAATTCATTTCCATTTGGACTAAATGCCACAAATGTGACGGTTTTATTACCGTTCTCAGCAAGATTTTGGAGATGTCCTGGCGCATAATACTGCACGCAATCTTTTGTCAAATTATCTGGACTATCACTTCCAATTTTCATCAATGATATCATTCGACGATCATAAATACGAGCATAACAATCATTACAGCCAATTGCAATCTGTTCAGGTCTTCGAGGATTTACAGCAACACATTTCGTTTCGACATATTCTTGATGGTTTTTCAAGTCAATCAGAACAATTTTAGCATCGGAATGACAAGTATGTGGTTCACGTAAATCTATTTGGAAAATACAGCCATCTTCAGACGATGAGAAGAAAACAGAAGGCAATTCCGGAGCAACAGCAATTCTTTTAACTCGCGACTGATGACAGCGACATTTAAAAATTGGATCTTCTGGATGATGAAGATCGTAGGCAAACACACAATGATCAGCAGCACCAGTGACAATTTGATTATCATTACTTTTTGGAAGGAACTTGACAGAAAATATATTTCCTCTATGCGGCGTTTGAAAGCTACTTATAACTTTATTTCGATAAGGGTCCCATAAAAACACTTGTAGATCATCACTTGCTGATGCCAATATGCTCCCTTTTGTATTGAATTCTAAGCAATTAACACATCCATCATGCCCATGCAGCTTACTCTGTAAATCTAGTCGGTCTATAAATGTATCATAAGTTTGCAAGTTCTTAAACTGGATGTTTTTGCTATTATTCTCGCGATTTCTTAAGATTTCAATTATATTCATATTTTTAGGATACTCTGTAATTAGAATATACGTACAATGTTGTTTAAATTGAGTAAACTCGTCAACTAAGCCCAATAAATTTTATAAATAGAAAATATTTTTTAATCTTCTTTATCATGCTATACTGATCAATTCCATCGTGATTTCGTACCTTTACTTGTCACTGCACTAAATAATAACTATGTCCTTTGATTAGATGTTGATTGACATCTATAAAACTGCTTAAAAAAGCAAAAATTGAAGAAAGAAAAACTTTATTTTGAAATAAACACCAAGGATGCGACACTCAATAATTTAATTTTATTTGTGATTAAAATAACTATTCGAGTATCCAATCCTTGAGAATTTGTAGTGTTTTGTAAAAATCAGTCAAATTTCAATTTCAAAAATGATGGCACCGTTAATTTAAAAATTGTTTTTATCCAAAGACTTAAATGATTGAAAGAAAATGCTCATAAAATTTTCATAAAGTTCCAAACAAATTTTGATGTTTTGCCACCTTACTCATTCATGAATATTTCATGATATCTAATTGGAATGAGGAAGTTTTGAATGAATTATGAAAATTGAATTTAAGGAATGCTTGAAAACCATACAAGTGTTTCTCAAACCCGATAAAACCATACAAATGTCACAAAATCTTTAAAACAATACAAATGTTTCATAAATTGCAGTTGTAATGTTTTGAAAACTCAAACTGCAAGTTTTAAAAAGCTCAATTAAAAATGTTCATCCGTCACATTTCGTCTGAAATAAAAATTATTAAAAGCTATTGACTGAAAAGTTTGACAAATTAAATGACTTCTTGTTCACAAAAAGCTTTTATAAAAGGGCACACAGAGCAATAATGCGTTAAAGCAATAATGATTATCAGTTCCCAAATAAAATTAAAACAATAAACAAGTGAAAAATAGGAAAACTCGTATTCAATATCCCGCTGATGGTCCTTAAATTCAATGGAGTTTGGATTAAAAAGGATTCTTCGACTTGCTACATCATTTACTCAATTATCATGCAATTTCTCTTCGCATATGCCTTTACTTTTTTTTTTTTCATATTTCAATAATAATGACAATAATGTCATTCTTTATTGAAGAGACTGAATTAATTAAAATTGATATCTTTAGGGTTCGTTCACTTATTACGTAACGCACTAGGGGGGGAGGGGGGGTCTAAGATTTTGTTACGGTTTGTTACAGGGGGAGGGGGGGGTCTAAGTTTTGTTACGTAACTTTTCAAAAAATATATTTTTTCTATATTAATTTTAAATTTTTTTATCGTTAAATTTTAACTTAAGAACTTTTTAGAATCACCGAAAAATTATTCACAAACGTATAGTTAATACTAAGAAAAAACCAAGAAAAGTAATATGCAGACGTGAAAAAGAAGTATTAGTACAATTGCAAGAGGATTTGGATTGGGTAGAAGCTGAGAACTTGGATATTGAAGAGGAACGTGCAAATACTGATATTATTGTTGAATATCAAAATGTATTTGCAGTTGAAGATCATTTTCAACCAATTTGGGAAAACGACTAATGATTACAAAACTTATGAGTTTTTTTGCGTTTAGTTAATAATATGGATGTAAACGATTAATATATTTTTTTATTGCTTTCCTTCTATTTACTTTTACATATGTACTTAAAGGAAGTATAATAAACATTTGATAAACAATTTTAATGAAAAAAATTATTGTTACGTTATGGAGGGGGGGAGGGGGGGTCTAAGATTTTGTTACGCTTTGTTACAGGGGGGGAGGGGGGGTCTAAAAACTCGTTTTTTTTGCGTTACGTAATAAGTGAACGAGCCCTTACATTTTTTTAAATCTATTATTTTTTCTCTCTCTACAAAGGAAAAAGCCCCTTAACTAGTACTTAAACCAGTTAAAAAGGCATAAAAAACCTTTGTAGTTTCTGAGAGTCTTCTTAAATCTAAGTGCGAGAATAAAACCGCTACATTCAAATTTTTCATGGGAATGTACATTGTAAATATTGAATAAATAAAGCACAAGACAATTTAACCAGCTGTAGAAGCTTGTTTGTTTGAATGAATTAGCGAAAAATTACTGGTCGTTAGTAGCTAAACTTAGAAATCAGCTGTTGTAATTTATTCACTTCTATTCATCTTTGTAACGGTAATAAGATATTTGAATAATATCTCGAGAGCTTTTTTCATATTCATACTAAGAAACATCGTGTTAAAATGTGATTTATAATATAATTAAGGCGATATAGACCGGCGAAACTTATATATATATACCCCCCCCCCCCCCCCCCCCCCCCCCCCCCCCCCCCTAAACGTTCATAATTTATTTTATTTTGATAATTTTAACTAAAAAGACGGTTAAATTTCTTTTGTATTGTTTTTCTTAAACATCAAAGTACTATACAGCTAAATAGGTCATGTTTTGATTGATACTATTAGTATTCTCATGAATTATTGGATTGAGATATAAAGCAAAAATTTGTTTTTTTTTTGAAGAAAATTCAAAAACATTATGCCACAAATTATGATTGTATTTTAAAGTCTTGTAAACCAGTTTTCTATTGATTTGTTACTTTATATAAAAAAAAATTTCTGGTGTGAATTTGTAAACAAATTTTTTTCGTGAACTTTTTTTTAAAAGACAGACGACAGTTTGAACATTACATACTTCTTGACACCCCCCCCCCCCCCCCCTATGTTACATTTGGTTACAATTTTTCAAACCCCCCCTCCCCCCTAAAGTGCGAAAGTGAACGGCCCCTAAAGTATTGTTAAAAAGATCCAGTGGACTTAACCATAACATCCAGGATCTTGAAAAATATTAATTCGGCATTTATTTCATCGCTCAAACTTTTCGTGCTACATCTTATACAACATGAAGGTTTTGTAGATCCCGAAGGTTATAATGAATTTTGAGGATTTTAAATTTATTAATAAATCATAAGACTTTCAATGAATTTAAAACCACAAAAAAATGTTTAAAACGTTCTAAAACAGAAATTACCGGATTGAATAATCACTTTATTATGGAATGTCTGTACGGATTTTTTTAAACGACAAAGTTTTAGACAAAAGCTCTTCAAATATTAAAAATTCTATACGGAAAGTAATATTTGAAACTGTTTAAAGCTTGGAAAAGTTGAATTTTTGACATTCAAATGAATCTGCGGATTGATTCCTAGAAAATAAACCTTACATAGTGAATAGGGTTTATTAGAGACACAGTAAATTGGACAGTGTTTACTTCCATTAGGGGCCGTTCACTTATTACGTTCGCATTTTAGGGGGGAGGGGGGTTTGAAAAATTGTAACCAAATGTAACATAGGGGGGGGGGGGGGTGTCAAGAAGTATGTAATGTTCAAACTGTCGCCTGTCTTTTAAAAATAAGTTCACGAAAAAAATTTGTTTACAAATTCACACCAAAAACATTTTTTAAATTTTCCACCTTTTCAATGATTTACAAATGTCCAGATCTCTTTTGATAGCTAAGCAATACATAGTTTTTGTTATATAAAGTAACAAATCAATAGAAAACTGGTTTACAAGACTTTAAAATACAATCATAATTTGTGGAAATTTTCAAAATTAAATCAATCACAAGTTTAAAAATAAATCTCTCTAAATCTGTCATTCATATGATGATTAATATGATCCCATCATTGTGATATTTACATTCAAAGTTGATTGAATTTTCCAAAATTCGATCGGGCATAATATTTTTCATGACATTTTTGAATTTTCTTCAAAAAAAAAACAAATTTTTGCTTTAAATCTTAATCCAATAAGTTATGAGAATACTAATAGTATCAATCAAAACATGACCTTTTTAGCTGTCCAGTATTTTGATGTTTAAGAAAAAAAATACAAAAGAAATTTAACCGTCTTTTTAGAATAAAAAATTATCAAAATAAAATAAATTATGAACGTTCAGGGGGGGGGGGGGTGAGTTGTAACATATTGTAGCAAGGGGGGGGGGGGTGTGAAAAAAGTCGTTTTCTTGCGTAACGTAATAAGTGAACGGCCCCTTATCCCTCATAGAACTTACAAAAGTGGACATGCCATGCTCTGGTCAAATATGTAAATTATTAATAACATTCATAACAATGTGAAAATTGAGGAAGACAAACTTTTGTTTAAAAAATAAATCAGAATTAAATTCTAGTTGAGAACAGTCATGCTTAAAGCAATGAGGTTCAAAGTCAGTCATTTAGGCATTTATTTGTTTCTATTTTTGATTTGTTATAAAAGGACATGACAAATAAAGTCATTAAGCAGTTTAATGGGACGTGACAAGCAATTAAGAAGTGAAAAGAGTAAGCAATCAGTCACAATGGATTTAGGATTTTTCAGGACTTCACTAAAGTTGACAAGGTTTCTTGGAATTTGGGTTAAAAAGGACGATCCTGTGTACTATCTAGCATATTCCATTTTTATGCAGTTTGTATTCGTCTATGCATTTACATTTATGATGGGCATGTATATTGTCAATGTATCAGACATTATCGATTTTGCAGACCAGTCATCGTCATTCTGTACCTACATAGTTTGTAGTGTCAAGTGTATCAACATTTTCTTTCAAATTGATAAATTGGAAGCAAACTTTCGAGAATTAAAGCAATGCATTGAGGACTATGAAACTCCCGAATTATACACGAAACACGTCAGCAAGGCAAACAAGCTTCTAAAAATGTATTGGGCAGCGACATTTTCTACTGTATTTTATGCAGGCTTTATTCCATTCTTCTCTGATCGTTTGGCATATCCAATGTGGTTCCCATATAGCTTAGAAAATCCTACACTATACTACATATCAGCATTTTACCAATGGATTGGAACTATTTTATATTCGACGGCTAATGTAATGATGGATTCATTGCCTGTACTATTTATTGCATATTTTATTGCCTTGTTTGAGAATATTGCTGACAGACTAGCAGCTATAAAGAGGCAGGGAGTGATTAAAGGCAAGAAGAAATTTGACAACAGAAAGGAACTAATTAAATGTGTAAAATACCAGCTTAAAGTAATAGAACTCGTCCGTAAAACTGAGAACATCTTTTCCGTCGTGATTTTCATTCAAGGCTTATTCTCATCTGTAATTTTATGCACAACTAGCTTTGCATTAACCATGCTTGTTTTTCCTACAGATGTTAATTTGATGATTAAATTTACAACCTATATGATGGCAATGGTTTCTCAAATCTTCATACCTTGCTATTATGGAACTGAATTGAAACTAGCATACGAGAGAATTTCGGACGCCTTATTTCATTCTGAGTGGATGTACGAAGACAAGGAATCAAGGAAAATTATATCTTTCATCATAGAACATTCAAAAGAACCGATGAAGATTGTCGCATTTGGAATAGTAAAGATTGATTTGGCTAATTTTGGAACAATCTGTAACTCAGCTTATTCGCTGTTTAGTGTTTTTAAAAGAACTAATTAATTTCCTGTTTTCAATGTTTTAAATGTGTCCTTAATTGAGTTTTTAAAACCTTTTAAAAATTAATATTAGGGTAATTCCATGAGTGGGAAAATCGAAAAAAAAAAAATTTATCAGTGTTATTCTCTTTAATTAAAAACATTTTACTCGATTTGATGAGCTTATCTTATAGCTTAAAATGAAGTGATTTTATGACAATTAAAACTTAACAGCAAAAATATGTCTATAATTAATTATTTTAATAAAACTGTTGGCAAACGGTTAAATCTTCAGAAAATGTGAAATTTGTTCATGAAAATTCTCTTCATATACATGATTCAGCCAGTGATTGAGTAATTTAAGTAATTCTAAACTAAATTATCTTCAAATAGATGTGAGTTCTACTTAATAATATGCTGTAATTAACGAGAAAACTGAGAAAAACTGCGTCAAACGGTTAATTTTCAACCGATTATTCATCATTTATTTAAAATGATTAATGACAGATATTAATACGAATTTCTCGTTAAAACACTAATGATTATTTCCGATAAACTATTTATTTCACAAGAATAATTTCGATTATGTTATAACGGTCAAAGTAAATTTGAAAACAACAAGTTGAGAAAAATTGTAAGTCGTTTTTTTCAGTTTCGTTTACTCATGGAATTACCCAATTATTAATAATGCTTCAAAACCTTTCAAATGTCAATAAATGATGCTATTGTATAGTTTTATTCCATAGCAAGTTAATCGAGTTCAATTTAAATGACATCATTAGGATCCAAATCAAATCTCTCATTCGTCCATAAACTATCTAATTCCTGCATAGCTTCATTTGGTATTTCAAAGTCTAAATTAATATTTTCCATTAAATGATTTTTAGAACTAGCTTTTGGGATTATAGCTACATCTCTTATATTTGCCCATCTTAATAGAACTTGCGATGAGGATTTGTTCAAATCATGTGCTATTTTCATGACAGTTTTATTATCCCGAAGTGAACTTTTACCACTAGTTCCTAAAGATGAATACGCCTGTAGCAAAATGCCATTGATTCTACAATAATCAAGAAGTTCTAAATCATAGTAAAATGGATGAAACTCGACTTGATTAACTGCTGGAATTACGTTATTAACTTTCTTCAGATCTTCTAAATGACGAATTATAAAATTTGACACTCCAACAGACTTTATTAAGCCTTGTTCCTTGAATTTTGCTAGCGACCTCCATGCTTCGTGTCTATGCTTAATTACATCAGTGGAATTATCTGGCAATCCGTTGACTCCAGGCCAGTGAATAAGCATCAAGTCTAAATAGTCGGTTTGGAGTTTTCTAAGCGATTCTTTCACTATTTTCAGATAGTCATCTTCAGTTTTATATTCGATTGATAACTCTGCGGGTAATATTATGATGTAATATCAGGAGCATGGACATTTTATATTACTAACCAAATTTTGAAGTTATAAAGATATCCTTTCGAGTCAGATTGTGCTTCTCTAATGAATTTTTCAACGCTTTTCCCAAATATTCTTCATTTCTATAGTTCTCAGCTGTATCGAAAAGTCTATATCCAACAGTAAGTGCATCATCGATGACTTTATTCGTAAATTCAGTTCCTTTAATTAAATAAGTTCCTACTGAATTTATAAATCGTATATAAATGGTGAACTAGAGAGGATTTCAGCTATTTCCTACTCACATCCAATCTGTGGAATCTTAACACCTGTATTCAATGTAAAATGGTTGGCTTTTAAGCTATTTAAGCTTATAAAAATTAATAAAACTGACTTCAACATCATGAATCTGTTTGTAGATTTAATTATCTTTTAATTAGGAGAGTTTATAGTGATAATTAGGGTAAATGACCTTGAAATTTGCGCAAATTCACACAAGAAAATTTTCATTGCTTCAAGCTCTTCGGAGGATTGAAATTGAGCTCTACTAACGATCTTGAAATGCAGGGAATCATTGATATTTTTGTTTTTCTATGGATATAGGAAGCTCTGCTGTGTCAATGCCAAGAAATTTGACTTTTAAGTTTGAACTTTGAAGTTTGCACAAAAAACCTTGAAATTTGCGCACTTTTTTGACAGTAATATTGAAACTTGAAAAAAATATTGTTGAAAACATATCCAATTTTAAAATACATTAATCAAATTATAAGGGAAATGATGATGTTAAATACCAAATTATATGATTAGATTTAGTTTCGTGAAAATCCGTGGAAGCTTAATGTTCAACAGGACAATCTTAGATGTATTAGGAGTAAATTCCAGCGTGGAAAAAAACACTAGATAAATGGTTTCAAAATAGTTCAAAAGCACATAATAAATTCAAAAAGGGACAAGCAAAATGATGTACCCATAGTAATTCAATTTTAAATTTTTTATGAATTTTTAAGCAGTTCCAGGTATCATTTTGATTTGGAACCATTTGAAAAATTTTAAGCAATGTCAGATCTACATTTTCTGATACCAAAATTTAATCTATACAAATGCATGCACCTCAAAATCAAAATGTAAAGAAATTTAAGTTTTGTATTGGAGTTTTTGGTAATAAATTATTAAGCTTTCTAGTGCCTTAAGACCACTAAAAATTATAAAAAAACATCTGTGCTTGTGTTCTGCAGACATTTCCCATTGATCGTCTGAACAGAAGTGCAATTTTCAGATATAAACTTTTAAATTTTCGTTTTCATACGAGTGCGCAAATTTCAAAGTCATTTACCCTAACATATTTATAGCGTTCTTTTCCAGAACATTACTCATTAATTAATAAAACTCGAATTAAACAGCATTTAAGTAATATAATGGTTCATATTTTTAAAAGCTTAAACCGTCCCATAAAATAAAAATGTTCAGTTTAAATAATATCATTTGGATCCCAATCAAATCTCTCATTTATACACAACCTATCTAAACTTTCCATCTTATCTTTAGGAATCTCAAAGTTAAGGCTGATATTTTCGAACAAATGATCTTTGGAACTTGCTTTTGGAATGATTGCGACATCTCTCAAGGTTGCCCATCTTAACAGAATTTGTGATGAGGATTTATTCAGTTCCTTTGCAATATTTCTAACTGTTTTATGATTTCTCAGTGATCGATCACCGCTAGTTCCAAGTGATGAATAAGCCTGCATTAAAATGCCTTTCTTCTTGCAGTAGTCAAGAAGTTCTAAATCAAAGTAATGTGGATGATACTCAACTTGATTAAGTGCTGGAATCACATTACATTCTGTCTTTAGTTCCTCTAAATGTCGAATTAAAAAGTTTGAAACTCCAATTGATCTGATTAAACCTTGTTCCTTGAATTTTGATAGTGCTTTCCATGCATTATGTCTGTATTTGATTACTTCTTTTGATTTATTCGGCAATCCATAAACTCCAGGCCAATGAAGAAGCAACAAGTCTAAATAATCCACTTGTAAATTTTCCAGTGATTCTTTAACAAGTTTGTGGTAGTCTTCTTCAGTTTTATAGTTGGTTGATGGAACTATAAGGACATTAATATGATTATTGTGAGTACTGGATGATATAAATGCTACATACCAAATTTGGTCGTTATGAAAATATCTTGACGCTTTAATTTATGCTTTTTCAACAGACTTTTGAATGCAACACCTAAGAACTTTTCATTATTATACATATGTGCTGTATCAAACAGACGATAACCAGCAGTAAGTGCTTCATCAATGACTTTATTTGTAAAATCAGTTTCGGTTATTAAATAAGTTCCCACTAAATCAATAAATCGCAATTAATATGATAGTTAAATGTTAATCAATGTTATTTTCTACTTACATCCGATCATTGGGATCTTATATCCAGTATTTAATGTAAATTCTTTAGCCATTATGATGTATAGCTAATGAATTAAATTAAATTTCTTTTTGTAAACAAACTTTTTACGACTTTTTTTGAAGTCAGCCAACAGTCCAAAGTAAAGTGAAGTACAGCCGAGCACATAAAAGTCTACAAAAAAGTGTGCAACGAAAGTCTACAAACGAAATTTACAATCATTCGCATTGTTTTGAAAAAATCTTTTAAAATTCAGCTTATTAATTACAGTGAAAATATCATAAATGTGTTGTAAACATGAATGCGGATATATTGCATCAGGACATACAGAATCTACTCGAGCTATTTGCAAAGAACTGCTACAAAGCAAACGATAATTCAACAAATGTAATAATTTTCACAAATTTTCAATATTTTTCATGAAAATCCTTTGTTTGGAAGTGAATTAATTAATATAATTAAGTGCATTTAGAGTCATGTAACGCAATTCATCGATACACGATTGTTAATAAGGGTTAATCATAAGAAATCAGCTCAATATTGTGATTTTAAGGATTCTACGCAATAAATTTAATTATAACAAAGACTAGCAGCTTGAAACAAATTAGATACAAAATTTCTACTGTATCATGTCCAAATTGGATGTTAAAGGAATGCCGGAAATGAGCATTTACAGTGAATTTTTATGTGAGAAAAAAGAAATTGGGTCAAAAAGTAAACTTTTCATTTCTAATATGATAATGTGGCACTATCTCTTCGCCTGTAAACATAACATTTCCACAAGATAGGCTGCTGTTTGTTGACAGACTTCTTCTTTTATCAATATTTTTTTTATGCTGATTAGGGTTTCTGAAAAACGGCATTTTCCGTTTTTTTATTTTCAATAACGGCCGTTAACGGACCATTTTAAGTTTTTTAAATAACCAAATATACACTTTTTGAACGAATCTTTGTGCAAAAATTATTGCAGATTGAAAATATTCGCTCTACATCTGTAGATGTCGGCTTAATACACAACAAAGCATCATAAAGTTTTTGAAGATTTTCCGATCGATTTCCTGTATTTTTCATAAAAATTGATAAAAATCAAATATGAAAAACCCGTTGTAAATTCTTGAGTCCAGATTTTGATTTGAACAAAACTGGACTCGCCACTAGGATTACATTTCTGATTCTAATATACTACTTGAAATGAGATTTTCAAACTTTCCAGGCAATCCATAATAATAAATCTCAATTACAGAAACTCTTAACTGTTTTTGAGAATAATTTTTAAAGGAAACGGTCGTTTTCCGTTTTCAATTTTTGTACCGTTAACGGCTTCAGAAACCCTAATGCTGATTGACTCGAAATATTATCAAACAATTATTGCCCATTAAGCAGGTCATTGTGGTTGCATGACTTACTGTTTATCTATCTGTGCATGACCAAAAAAAAAAAATAATAATTTTTATCTATATCTACTTTCAGGGAAATGATGTTATGCAAAAATGCTTGGTTTTGATGAAAATAGACTATAATGTTGTGGAAATATCAAATAATCTAGGAGAACTATCATCACATTATCCATCATCTATTCTAATACCAGAGTATGAGTATCAAAATATAAATAATCCCATTAATAATTCAAATACAAATCGACAAGAAACGATTTACGAAAGTATATACGATGCTAATAAACTAAGGGATCTTATCAGTAAAGCTCGCTTTGCGCGGTAAGTCAATAATGTGTACACAATTGAACAGTTACAGATTACAACATATTAAGCGCCATACAGATAATACGTGGTGTATAAGTCAATGAAAATAGAATTTTAAAATTTCATTTTTTACAAATTGCTTTTTCAGATGTCGTGCACGTTTTCCGTTGCCTATAATATTGTATCGAGGAAAATATATATGCCGTTCAGCAACCCTATCTGGAGGACCTGAAATCTACACTCGAAGTGGCTTTGATTATCTCTTTTGTGGAGTAGATAATTCGTCTGTAAAGGCACCACTCGACGAAGACGCCTACGAGGCACAAGAATCTTCACTTAATCAAGATGAAACAACATTTTCCGAAGAGAAAAATTGGCAACTTTTTGATCGTGTACGAAGTCAAGACATTAAATTGCTGAAAACGCTTAATGTAGGAACTATAATTGACTTTATGGTCGAAAAGAAGAAAGTGAAATTTCTGATGAATGTAACGTCATCGGAGAAGGTCGATAAAGAGAAGCGATATCAAGATTTTAGAATCATTTCATTGCCTTATCCAGGCTGTGAGTTCTTCCGTGAATTTCGTGGTAAGGAGTTTTTATTTTTGAATTTTAACGGTTCCGTACTATTCAAATCAAGGGTGTGGTACTGATGAAATGATCAAAAATGATCAAATTGTAATCCTTCAGTTGCACTCCCTTGATTCAAATTTGAACTGAAACAAATTGAACTTTAAACTGAAAAAAATGAAACTTTAACTGAACAGAATTGAATTAAATTTAACTCATGCTTTTAGATAATAATTATTCTGGCGAAGGTCTGGTTTTTGACTGGTCACATAAGTCTGTTGATGCTGAAATTGGAGTGCCTGAAGACAGTATATCATCGCAGATTAACATTGATTGGGAGAAATACAAAAATTGGGATCTTGTTCAAATCACACAAAGCTACATGAAACTGATGCTGAAATATCTCCAAGACAGCAGTTCTGGACTGCTTATACATTGTATTTCGGGTATGCTCTTATCATTATTTATTTAAATTAATGACTTGCTGATATTTGTGTGACTATTTGTAGGATGGGATCGGACACCTTTGTTTGTTTCTTTGTTGAGACTCTCATTGTGGGCAGACGGTGTCATTCATCAGTCTTTAAATGCTATTCAAATATTATATTTTACAATAGGTGATTAAATCTACGCCTTATCTCGTCCAAAATATCTATTTTTTACATTTTCTTATGTCTATTTAGCTTACGATTGGTTCCTTTTCGGTCACAATTTACCTGATAGACTACAGAAGGGCGAGGAGATATTTTTCTTTTGTTTCTACGTTCTTAAACATTTAATGGATGACGAATACAGTATTGCTGGACAGAGGTAACTATTATCACTTTATAGTGCATTGTTCAATACAGCATCTAAGTCACAAGATTTGAAAATGCACAGAAATATTACTCAAATATAGATTGCACTTAGTTCCTTGTTATTTATACACAAAAATTATCAATCAGTCATCATTATTTTAGGTTCCGAAGTAGCAAGCAAAGTAGTAGTGGAAGCAGTTCAATAGGAGTGATACGAACAGATAGTGATGTATTTGATGGAATGCTTTTTGATGGCGATAGTCGAGGATCGAGTATATCATTAAATTCAACATGTAGTGCTCGAAGTCAACAGGATCACAATTTGACAGCATCTTCGAATGGAGTACATGATGACAGCAATGCAAATGGGTAAGAATTAATAAAAGTAGAACTAAATGATGATTACATATTAAGTTCCGATTTCAGCTGGATTCAGGGACAAGATGGGAACAACAGTTTTGGCTGTTTCTCATCCATCGAAAGTGCAACAAATATGCTAAATGTTTCACCTCAAACGCAAAGAAGGTAAGCATAACAGATTTTATTTTTGAGATTGTTGACTCATAAATTAAAACTCTTACTTTCAGGACAAGTCCGATGTCAGTTCCAAAGATATCTGGGGTAAATACAGAGAATAAAATTCATCGACAGAGGCAGGAATCATCATCGAGTGTATCAGTTGGAAGTTGGCAGATGATAAGTGGAACGGGAAGTTTAAGAAGTCAAGACTCAAACATCGTTGTCGTAAATGAGTATAATCATCATCCATCAATAAATCCAAATAATAACAATACATCAATCAATAATGCACCACTATTAAGTCAGTCAAATACGACAAATATGTGTTCAACAACTCAACAGAATAGCAGTGGCAGTATAATGACAATTAACGGTTCAGTTAATGAAACAAGTACAATTGTTGATGATGATTGTTTCACTGCCAACGATTATTTTATGAGACGAGAGCGATTAAACTCTGTGAGGACGTTATTTTACAACTGTTATTCCTCAACAATTGGTTACCAATTTAAGAACGGTGCTGATTCAGCTTTGGGATCATTATTAGGGAATTTTGCCGAGAAAGTTGGATTAACGACACAGCGGACACCAATTTGAGAGTAATTGTCATGTGAAGGAGAAAAAATGAAATCAAATATACCATTTTAAAGACGTCCAAAAGTTGTTGCAATTTTGATAAGACTAACCTGTTATCGTTAAATCCATTTTGTCTTTTTTTAAAAACACTTACATTTTAATTAAATTTTAAATTTTCGTTAAGGTATTATATTTTCTACTTTATGTTGTTTCTGTTTTTTTGGAACGTTATTTACATTTCCATTCAAATAATTTGAATTTGTTTTGAGGCATAAAATCTAGAATGGGTGGAATAATCGTCATTCAAAATTTGAATTTTTAACGGTTAATGAGGATTTGATATTTTTTGTATAAAAAAAATCAGTTCAAAATTTTAAAACCCGTTGATAAATTTGAATTTTTGAAAGTCGTTGAAAATCCACTTTGTGAGAATCAAAATTGAAAATTATTTAATTGACGATAAAAATTCAACGTGAGTGTCCTATCAAAATCAAAACTGTGGCCAACAAAAAGAAACCAACAAAGTGTTCCATAATGATATTTCGAAATAAATTATATAATATATTGTGACATAAAGAGGATTTATATGAATTTTGTTTCATGATTTAAAGAGAGAATAAATCTTTTCTTTTTGTTATCGAAAATAGCATTGCGTGTGATTGATAAAAATGATTTTTCTGTGTTTAATATAAGCATTTATTTGTTTTTTTAATAGGAATAATAATAGTAGTAATAATGCTTTTGTGTTAATTATCAATTTTTTTTGAAGCACTATTTGTGTAACGATTAATCTATTTGACGATGAAAAAAAAAATACTTTTCTTACAACATGTGGCAAACTAGTGAAAAAATTTACAAAAAATTGATTTTTTTAGGCATCTTACAAGTCAACATCAAGCACCGATCCTTCGGACATTGAATTGTATAAAAGGATTTCATTTAAATTGGTGTTATCCAAATCACCATCGTCATACGAAAATGGAAAGTATGAGTTTACAACAGGAACTCTCTTATTATTACTATTTGTTGCACTACTATTCAAATCAAATTCATCATTCTCCTCTGGCTGTTGTGACTCTTCTACTGGAAGATCACTAAAGTTTTCAGTTTCAATTGCTTTCTGATATTTATATATCTTGTTAAGGATTACGCGATTTATCAAGTCACTTTGGACAGAGCCTCCTTGAGCGATTTCTAAGAGTGGCATGAATCTATAATAGCATGGCGAAAATATCTCCAAATCCCATAAGTGATGGCTCGGTTTCAAATACTTGCTCTAAAAATCAATATTTAACGGATATTTTAGATTCAAAATATTTTTTTTTGAAGTTTGGATTTTTAAAATTTTGATAGCCGTTATAAATTCAAAAAAATAAATATATATTACCTTATCAGTGGAAGTAGCAGATGCAGCAGAAGTGGATGGCTCTAGTTTCTTTGGTGGCGATTCAGCAGTATGAGACAAGACTTCCGAAGGCCTTAAAAGATGTGATTCTGTGTCAATTAATTTTCTCGGTTGTAACGAGAATCGTTGTTTCGGATTTTTAGACAATATATCCATACCAGGCAGTTTTAAAGCACTAGGTGGCAATCGAGATTTACGATTATTTTCAATTTCTTGCTCACTCATTTGTGGCTTCTTATAAAGCGGATTTACGAACAATGCAATATCCTTCTCGTACAACATTTCACCCCAATCCCAAACAGGCCTCAAGACGAGATGCTCCTCAGCAACAGCTTGTAAACGATCAGCCTCACAATTAAATTGGAATGTATCAAAAATCGGTATAAAAACTGTATCCCAAAGTGTTGTCAAAAATATTTCAGAATATTCAAAAGCTTCCGGAAATTGCTGAAGAACTTGCCAAACGCAATCCAAAAAGAGTAAAAAGAGCGGTGAACGTTCTGCCTGCTTATTATAGACATGACCTAATCTATCACAAAACGGATGTCCTAAAGCAACCCATTCTTTTTGTATGAGTACTTGAAAGCCATGAATTGTACGGCACAATGGATCGAGTAATATTTGAATTAGACTCGAGATTACGCAACTCATATCGCGACCTTCAAATTCCTGAAGTACAACAGATTCACCATTTTGTAGATTTTTCGCACATTCATTAGCCGTTCTAATACATAATGAGACGTAGAGAAGCCAACAAGTTTTCTCTAAATGTGTTAAGAACTTTTCGTCTTGTGTTGTAAGTTCTCGGTCACTAATTGGCGAACATAATGTCCTTAAACGTACATAACTTTGCTGCACATCTTGAATTGATGGAAGGCCTTTCGATAATTCCACACAATGTGGTGGACACTTCAAGCTAGCACACATCCTTATATGCTCGAGCATCAGATTATCATTTGAATGCATTACTTCCTTTGGATTATTTAAGAGTTCTGGTAAAAGATCAGCCATGCGAAGAAGTGACGCATTCTCTAAGCTAAATACCCAAACAGCAGCTCGTCTACTTCGAAATGATTTACATAGTTCAAAATACTTTTCGTCTGTGAGATGTCGCGGAATAACAAAACATCTTGGCAGTGCGTCACTTTCTGGAGATTTTCGTGACAGAACTCGCCAAGCACCATTTTGACTAGATATACCACAACGTTGTAGTTCTTGTGTCCAATCATATTCTTCGCTAAACGTCCGAATACTTTGTGATGCATTGTAATACTTTTCTCTGTTAATTATAAATACACATTTACATTTGAGCATTAAAAGGCCATGTTTTAAGTAGAAAATAGCTCACCTATAATGATACATGAACAGCAAATTGTGTCGCGTGGGAAATGCAAATTGCAAAAGGGCATCAGCAATGTATTTGCCTCTTCCTACTTCACAATTCTCGGTGAAATCAAATGTAAGCATGCGAAAATTCTTGCATAATATTCGAATCGCATCTATTTTTGAAGCATTCTTATTTTGAGGAACTACTAGTTTATGTTTTTTATCAGTATACGCATATATCTCATCCATATTTGATAATGTGATGTCATATTTTGACAAGAAAGCATTTTCTTGATATGCTGGCGATCTCTGTAAGCATACACACATTATGTATTACTTCAAGGCATATATTTTTACGTTCTGTGTATAGTATGTCCGGTAAATCTACACTTTAGAGTGGGCCAATATAAAATTTTTTATATGAACTAAAATCACTCAAAAAACTCTAAATATAACGTTTTATCGCATTTTTAATGTGTTTTAGGCAATTTAAAGTAGTTTAGGGACATAATTTAGACAGAACGAAAAATAATTGGGGCAATAAAAGTTTTAGTGCTTACCCTAAAACCACTGCTACTTTTATCGTCCAAAGCAACGAAGCATAGTCGAAAATTAGTAATTATCAAAAGTCCTATTCGCTTCTTATTGGGAAGTTTCTGAACTTTCTTCGTTTGTGCCTTAATCTTTTGGGCAATATACATAGTGACGTTCTTTGCTCTCGCAACTTCCAACTCACCTGAAAAAACATTAATTAGCGTTTAGATAAAGAGGAATTTGGTGATTTAAAACTTACCATGATGAAATGATGGATCATAGTTGTTGGCATCTTCTGCTGTCTCTATACTCTGGATGTTTCATTCAATTTTCATAAATAAAAAGAAAAAGTACGGAAAAAATCAATATTTATGAACAAAGTGACCTCCTTATAAGTACACTGATATGAATAATTTGATCAGACAGTACTGATGTATTTGCTAGTCAATTATTGTAAGATTCCTCGGCTATGAAAGGAATAAACATTTAGACAAGAAATGAAATTAAAATTACCTCAGCTATATAACTTTTGAAGTTTTGCTTTCTTGCTCCACTTTCCGTCATGATTTAAAGCATTTGTCGGATTATTAAAAGTTAAACTAATGTAATTGCACTTATGCGTACTATTTACTCAATATTATAGTACATTTTTAATTAATTTAACAAAAACTTTTTTTGCTCAATCCTCTTTTCTTTTCTTCAAAAACAAAAATAATCAAATTTATCGTCCCCCTGATTTATGGGACTAAATGCGAATAGATCTACAGAAAATGTTTGTAGTAGTTGTGGTAATGGCTAGGGGTGGCGAACAGAGCTATTACCGTTAAATTCGGAAAAATTTGAAAATATTTTTAAAATTCACTAACACAAACATAAAATATTCGGATGTAAACATTGAAAATGTTTCATTGAAATTTGACTTAATTTCAACTAATTTTGTGTACAGGACATGATAAGTTGCTTAATGCAGCTTTAGTAATGATTAATGGATGCTTTAAACAAGCTTTAAAGTATGATTTAATAGATAAATTGCAAAACAATTCAAAAGTACAATTTTGTTTGTGTTAGTGTACCTTATGTTTCGAAATTCAAAATTTAAAAATTAACGGTAAAATAAGGTACGTTTCGAAATTCGTAATCAAAAAATAAGGACCGTTTGCCACCCCTAGGTAATGGTTAATTTAAGGGGAATTCTACGAAAAGGTTTCATGAAAATAATCCGTGTCAATTGCATGAAATTTTTTAATTATTTTATTTTCACTTGTGCATAGTTTTTCAAAAATCTAATTGTGATTTCCTTTTCTATTGGTTAAACTGTGAATTATGATTACATCTGCACTCAAATTACTTAGCTATGGCTTGAGAAATTCATGGTTTTAATTTTAATATTTGGTAGTTTTTTTTGGAATTGTCTCCAAATTACTATGTTTCACTTATGAAATTTTTCGTAGAATCCAAATTGCAGCTTAATTAAGGCTTCCACAAATATGATTTTGACATCGTTTTAAAGCTGTTACTTTAAGCTATAACTTTGTATACTTAGTATTACTGGAAATTTTATTACCTAAAAGATATTAATGAAAATATTTTGGCAGTTTGGGCGAAAAAATTCATGTGAAACAGAGTAATTTTCCGTAGAATGTAAATAATTCTTTAATTAACCATTCTTAATATGTTTGGGTGAGAACAATATGTAGATCTAGGTAAAATCTACTATTAAATACATGAAACATGGAGAGTAATGCAACTGATAAAGAGAAATATAGATTTGGAGACAAATTTATAGAAAAAATCATTCGTAGAATCGCCCATATATGTTTCAAAACCGTTCAAATGTTCTTTCTTAATTAGATTTATTAAGGTTCATCATGGATGGTAAGAGATTTCGAGGTAAACTCATGGAATGGCTGTGTAGGCAACGATGCAAATATGCTAGAAATTAGAAACTCGCAGAAGTTGTGTAAGGATAGAGCCAGTTTTAGACGAAAGTAAGTAATGTCCATAAGCGAATTGCTATTTGAAGACCTTTTTCAATTCCAGGTAGTTTAATTTATAACTTTACATTAAATTAAGAGAAATACTCAATTCTCCACCGTTCAAATGTTTCGAAACATTTACTCTTGTACGGTTTTAGAACATTTTGAAAACCTTACAACAAACAAGTGGGAGATGTAAACAAAACAAAAATAATTTAATTAAGTTTTGACTGGAATATTCTCATTTGGTCCCACTATAAGTAATAAAGTCGTCCCTACACAAGCCAAACTTTCTGATAAAATTCCATTTAAAAAATTTTAATTTACTGCTCTTCTCACCTCTCCTGTAACGATGTTTGCAAAAATCTTTGTTGTAAAGAAGCTCATTTATTCTAATTCTACATAAAAACGTTCAATTTAATATTAATTAATTTAAGATGCAATACTCAAGAAATAAAAAAAGTAAATAAAAACAGTAAAGCAGGTCAATGTTTTGTATTCTGTCTGATAAAAATACTCAAGGACGAGCAACAAAGATAACTGCCAATCATATTTCGAAAAAAGTTTTTTTCAAGCTTTTTTGAATTATTTTTAAAAGCTCTTTTAGAGTGCAATCATTAAGCATTGAGTGAAGGTCGTTAAAAATGCTGAGGACAATTTTATCAAGATTCCAAGTTAATTCAAGTAATTTAAGACGTGACATCTGTACAGAGCAACAAAAGGATGATCAAAGATCAGTTCCAGAAAAGAAAGTTGTAGAAAAAGAAGGTAAATTGAATAATTTTTGACTTTTTAACATTATATACAAAAAGGAAATGCTTACAGATCAAATTTCAGAAAGTCATGAACAGCATAAAGTACCTGACACGACAGAATTTCTTGGAAAAATTGTTTATGCTGAAATATGTAATTCAGATAAAAACCAGATTTTTACTGTATCTTCAAATGACATTGAGTATGATGTATTTCTGAAAGACATTAACTGGTATGCTCTTGTTGGTGATAATGTTAAATGTTCAGCAATTGTTAAAATTAATAAAGAAGATGGAAATGAGCTGGAAGTTCTCAGAATGGTCCCTAGAAAAAAATCCATCGAATATGCAAGAGTTACAGCAATTAATGATAATCATGCAATTTTTGACAATCGAATCATCCTTTACAATAACACAGTTAAAGACTCAAGACTCAAATTGTTTGCTGAATACAAAATAGAAATGATTGAAAGTGACCAAAAGGGATGCTACAGCTATCGAGTTATTTCAATCCTCGAAAGAATGGACAGTAACATTATTGGAACTGGAATTGTCTTTGAAAACTCACCATTTAAGATTTATTTAAATCTAGATGAGAAGAAGGAAATTGGCATGAAGCATATAAAAATATTCAATAGATCTGACAAGTCAGCAAACATTAAGAGAATTGAAATCGTACCGTTTCTGCCTGAAAACTCTGATATAATAAGTTATAAGAAAAGTAACATGAATTTCTCATTAAACCCAAAAATTGGTCAGTTCAAGGTCTTTTTCAAAATCCAGCCGATGAAAATTGGAAAATTTTACTTCAACTTAGTCGTTCTTTTTAGCAATTTTGAGGAAAAATATGAATTTTCAGTTGAAATTTTTAAAGCATACATGCTTCCCGGTGAAAAACTTTTCAGATCACCAAGATTTATTGATGTGCCAATATCAGAACATGCAATTCCCAATGACATAAAGGAAATTGATTACAGCAATTATAAAGAAGCTAAACAAACATTGGAGAATTTATATCCATCGCTTAAAGAAAGCTTGACACCAATGAATTATCTAGAAAGAATGAAGCTTGGAATATTTTTAGATGAACTGGCGATGAAAAATTCATTTGCAAATTATCACATTGAACGTGCTGTTTTTGAGGTTAAAGGAGAATATCTAAAGTTGACAGTTAAGGATGTAGCTGAAAAACGTCCAAGTATTATTGTTGGTGATAAAGTTATAGCCACAGATCCAACAAAGTGTAATAATGATGAAAATCCAATTTATGAAGGCTACATCCATAAAGTTGGAAACGACTCAATTTTATGTAAATTCCATTCCGACTTTCATGAACATCATGCTGGAAAGGATTATTCAATAGACTTTATATTTAGTAGATCTCTGTTTCGTAGGCAACATCATGCTTTGGAAAAATTCACATCCCATAGCTCTCTTGGCTATAATTTTCTTTTTCCTAACAAGAAGATTGCAATTAATACGGTTCAATTGGATGCAGAAGTGGATACAGAAGGAAGTTTAATAATTGGAAACAGACAACAAAATTGGTTTTACAATGATCTGAATAAGTACCAAAAGAGTGCTGTAGTAAATGTTTTGCGTGGTGAAAATCGTCCATTTCCATACATCTTTTTCGGATGTCCTGGTTGGTTTAATTAATTTTATTAACTTCTTTACAATTACAGTTAAATTTTGATTTTTGAAGACCAATAAATATCATGACTTTACATTTTAGGCAGTGGAAAGACACAAACAGTAATTGAAACAATTCTTCAAATACAACAGCACGTGAGATCATCGAAAATAATCATAGCCACTCCATCAAACTCGGCTGCAAACTTGATTCTTGAAATGCTGATTAGTTCTGGCGTGCTTGATGTTAATAATCCAAAATTCTTAAGGATAGTCAGTAACAATCAGGTTGAAAAGGAGCTAATTCCTGATAAATTGACGAAATACTGTGGAACTGTTAGTATTGCATCTGATAAAGGTAGTCAAAATAGTGACTCACCATCAAGAAATAAAAGTGGAATTCTTCAAAATTTAACAAGATCAAAAATCAAGGAATATCAAATAATTATAGCCACTTTGAATGGAATTGGAAACTTAATGCAAATGTCCTTTGACTCATACTTTTCACATGTAATTATTGACGAAGCTGGTCAATCCATTGAAGCTGAATCGATTATTCCATTAACATTATTGAATAGCAAGATCGGACAATGTATTTTATCTGGGGATCCTAAACAGCTTGGTCCCATAGCTATTACTATTTTTGCCAAAAGCTTCAACTTTAGTGTCTCAATGATTGAGCGATTGTTGCTAACAGATCATTACTATGCAAAAGCTTATGGACCTGATAAAAATGACTACGATTCAAAATTTGTCACAAAATTGATAATTAATTATCGGTCGCATCCATCCGTTTTGAAGGTCTACAATGACATTTTTTATGATGGGTATGTTCAAGCTTAATAATTAACAGCACTCAACAGCTTTAAAACTGTTAAATTAATTTTTTTAAATTTCTTCTAGCGAGCTTGAAGGTGCTGTAAATGGCACAGACAGTATAGAAACATTGTTTCTATCGACTATGGAAGATTTACTTTGGAAGAATGTAAATACCAAATGTGGTATCATCTTCGTTAACGTTATTAATGGGCAGAATAAGAAAATTCAGGACAGCTGTTCCTGGTTCAATGATGAGGAAATTAACGGTGTTATGGCTTTCATAAAAAAATGTCATGCAAAGAAAATTCCATTCAAGAATATTGGGATTTTAACACCATATTCTTTACAAGTGAAGAAACTTAAAACTCAAATATCAGTGCTGAATGTAAGTTCTTAATTCCAACTAGATATTTTCATAAAACAATTTAATTTTCTTATAGGATTCTGACTTAAAAGTTGGAACTGTTGAAGAATTTCAAGGACAGGAACGATTAATTATGCTTGTGTCGACAGTTCGTACCGAACAAAAACAATTAAAGAAAGACAATCGATTTGGTTTAGGTTTCCTGCAATGTCCAAAACGTATTAATGTTGCTATATCAAGAGCTCGTGCCTTATTGGTAATTTTTGGAAAGCAATCAATTTTGGAACAGGATGTGAATTGGAAGCGAATTATTGATTATACAAAGGACAATAAAACTTTTGTGACTGAAAGTTATTAATGATTTTAAAAGCCATAAGCGATGAGTTACTCTGTATTTTGAGAAGCTTGTCATATTTTTATATTGACGTAATTTTATACATTTATTCCTGACAATTTAATATAAAATGCTACTTAATTTTATTCAAAAAAGTTTATGCCTTCTAGTTCTTCCGGTAAATAATTGAGTCCACTTTCGTCTTTATGAAATGTATTGTAGCCATTTCCATATCCAAGTGATTTCATAAACTTTGTTGGCGCATTTCTGAGATGAATTGGAACCGCAGGCATTGGACCTTCAGTATTTTTAATCTGTTCCTTACATTTAAGCATCGCATGATAAGATTCTGTACTTTTTGGTGCGCGTGCTAAGTAAACAGCTAGTTGTGCTAGAATGCAGTCCGATTCAGGCATTCCAATTTTCTCAACAGCCTGCATAGTTGAAGTAGCTAAAATCAATGCTTGTGGATCTGCAAGACCTATATCTTCAGAAGCAGCTCTTATTAAACGCCTACAAATAAATCTCGGATCTTCGCCAGCCTCAATCATTCTTGTGACCCAATAAAGACTTGCATTATCATCAGATGCTCTTATGGATTTATGTAAAGCACTAATAATGTCATAATGTTGATCACCAGCTCTATCGTAAAGTAAATGAGTTCTTTTAATATTGTCTCGGATATCCTTTAGTGTTATCATTTTGATGTCATCAGATTTTTCAGCACCTGACTGCTTCATGCACATTTCAAGACTATTTAGTGCTATTCTAGCATCACCATCCGATGTATCTGCAATCCATTTGAGGCATGTATCAGTTATTGTGATCTTCGGAATGATATCAAGGTTTTGGACAAAATCATCAACATTCTTATCGACATTTTCAGGAACTTCTATAGCATCAAAATGTGACAAAGCTCGTCTGAGAATTTTTACAATATCTTCAGATTTTAATTTATCAAGAATAATGACTCGACAGCGTGACAACAAGGCATTATTAAGTGAAAATGATGGATTCTCGGTTGTGGCTCCTAATAAAATGATGGTTCCGTTCTCAATATGTGGTAAGAATGTATCTTGTTGTAACTTATTGAATCTGTGAATCTCGTCCATAAATAAAATTGTTTGCTTCTTAAATGTTTCTCTATAGCTCTTTGCCTGCTTAATTGCTTCCTTAACTTCACTCACGTTTGTTGTGCATGCAGACATTGATACAAATCTAAACATTTCTTTGTGCTGATTACAATGATTGAATATTATTTTTGCTAATGTAGTTTTTCCACATCCTGGAGCGCCGTAGAATATACACGAATTGACAGTATTGTTCTTTAGTAAGTTTCTGATGATTGAATTCTCTCCGATTGCTTTATCCTGTCCAAAATAATCAGAAAAGTTTGTTGGACGCATTATATCTGCTAACGGTGCTTCTGGAGCTTTTAATGCTTTTTGTTTTGTTGAACTTGTTGATTTATTTGACAGATCTAATGATTTTCTAGCAGTTTCATCACTTCCAGTTGACTCGTTGGCTTCAATTTTAGGTTTTTTGGTGCAATTAAAGATTCCATACGTTTTGTCTGTATTTGAGCGTTTATTTGAAGCCGGTGAACTTTGAAACTTTTTTGACTGCTTTTCAAAGCATTGACTTACGTGCTCTTCTATTTCATCTGATGGAAATTTCTTCTGACAAATCGCACACTCATCACATTTCTTTAAATTCGATTGCATTCTTACAGAAAACTTAATTAAATTTAATAACAACAAATTCTTGTTTACAAAATGAAAAAAGCGCGAAAATTCAAAATGTTTGTTTTAAGCTTATTTTGGGCCTCGACGTTTTTTTGAGGATTTTTGCTCAACGGAATTCTTATTATTAAGAGCTTTTACATCATTATTGAGTAATATTTTCGTGACTTTTCAAATTTCATTTTCGATTTTGTTTGTAAACAAACAAATTACAACCGAAAAAATTCAAAAAAGGTTAAAACCGTTAAAAATTTAACTTAATTTTGTCCATTTGGGTATGTTAATGCAGCAATTTTAAATTTTTTATAAACTCAAAAAGAACAGAATTGAATTTCGGACCTAGAAAAATACATTTGGAGATATATCAATAAACAATAATGAAGATATAGCAAAATTCCCAAAAATTGTACGTGAGTGACGCTCAGTTAAAGTGATTTTTTCGAGTAACTGTAAACTTTCATGAAGTGAATTGTACAACAATAGATGGGGATTTAAATTCCGTTTTCAAAAAAGTAACTCTTAAATTTGTCACTTTTAAGGATAAGGAGATAATCAAGAATAACAAAGCGTCACTCACGTACAATTTTTTTGTGACGAGGCCCATTAATATAACTTATTTATCTGGTTTAAACTCATGTCTAATGTAAATGTTACTAATTTTACGTTTATGATGGTACTTCTGAACCACTTCAAAGTGTTTCTTTAAGTTGATAAAATCTATGCCTGACTGGCTCTCAATTGATGGTCTGAAAGTCAAATTAATGGAAATAAAGTTAATTCGCTGACAAATTTTTCTACAGATAAAAAACTTACACCGACGATGCGTTAGTAATGTAATTAATTGGAATGCATTGAAGACGATTTTTCAGTAAATCAAATTGCTTTGTTTGAGGAATGAGCATCAATAGTCCATAAAGTGCGTTTTGTAAATTTTGAGAATCAGCATTTTTCGAGACAAGAATTAGCCTCAATGAAGCAAAGATGGGCGATTCGATAAGTTGAATTAATTTGTCAATTTCCTCTAAATAGTCCACAGTCATTTCGAGGTTTCCACTGTGAAGGAGATTAATAAAATGATCAATTTTCTCAACAAATATTACAGTTATCTTACAAAATTAAGACTAAATCAGACACATGGGAGAAACAGTTAGCAAGCAAGCAAAGTGATATTGTTGAAATTGGACAAAATGACCAACATTTATATAAAGTCACGAATAGATCAGCAGATTTTGGATTCTGAATATTCCTCAAAGTCGTTCTCAAATCAAAAAGTTCAGATGATGTGAATAAAATGCTGTTGAGCTTCCTCACCATAATCGATGCAAATTTTGGATTCTCTGTGTCATTTGTTAATATTTCAGCTAGGGTTCTGGAAAGTACCAAAATATATTAATTAGGGCCTCGTCACAAAAAAATTGTACGTGAGTGACGCTTTGTTATTCTTGATTATCTCCTTATCCTTAAAAGTGACAAATTTAAGAGTTACTTTTTTGAAAAGGGAATTTAAATCCCCATCTATTGTTGTACAATTCACTTCATGAAAGTTTACAGTTACTCGAAAAAATCACTTTAACTGAGCGTCACTGACGTACAATTTTTGGGAATTTTGCTATATCTTCATTATTGTTTATTGATATATCTCCAAATGTATTTTTCTAGGTCCGAAATTCAAATCTGTTCTTTTTGAGTTTATAAAAAATGGTAAAAAATTTAAAATTGCTGCATTAACATACCCAAATGGACAAAATTAAGTTAAATTTTTAACGGTTTTAACCTTTTTTGAATTTTTTCGGTTGTAATTTGTTTGTTTACAAACAAAATCGAAAATGAAATTTGAAAAGTCACGAAAATATCACTCAATAATGATGTAAAAGCTCTTAAAATAGTCAGAACAGCTACTTTTCGTATTCAAATCATAATATTTTGGATTAATGATTGAATAATTAAGAATTTTGAGAATTTAATTTTTGATGTTTTGTAAGATAGTGTTAGTGAAAAGTTCAAAAGTTTCCGTTCAGCAAAAATCCTTAAAAAACGTCGAGGCCCATTAAAATTTCTTCATATTAATTAAAAATCCTTACCGATAAATATATTCAGCATTAAGCAAAGCACAAAGCTGTTTAACGATAAGTGAACCTCTATTGTCAAGGAAGCTTTTATCTTCACGAAAGAGTTCCAATAAGCTATCAAGAAATTCACGATATTTATTAATTTCAGCATCTTGTTCTTTGGTTGATTTAACAATATCAGCTATGACAGTCAATCCTTCAAGGACAACTTCATCTGATGAGTCATTAATAATGTTTCGGAGAACTGGAAGTAAATTTGGAGCATGGATAGACATTTCGTCTTCAGCCTCGATGAAAAATTGATGAATCCAGCTCAATGAATGAACTTTTGTGTTGACTGAACTATGCAAAAGATACATTTTGAGCACTTCCATTACTGACTCTATGTCAATGTTTTTCAATTCATCTTTATTCTCCTTTTTTGATATTAAATCAAGCATAAGTTGATTGACTAATCCGGCATTCTCTCTGATATCTAGAAATACCAAGCACTGTAGTATAGAAATATGGATATAAAAAATTTGTAACTCACTTTTCTTAGAATCACTTTCGTAAGCCAAGCATGGAAGGATAGCAGAGAGGATTCCACTTGAAAATGGAAGCATTTGAATGCCAGAAATGTGTAGAAACTCTCTTAGCCATGTTATAGCCGTAAATTGAATTAATTCATTATTTGCGTTTTGGGCATGAAAAATTAAAATATTTGTCATTCTTGATAAGTCAACCGTCGATGGATCATGCTTGATATTCTTTAAGAATTGCTGTAAAAGTGTCTCACACATTCTTTGGATTTCTTGTACATCCTCTAACATTTGAAATAATCCATCAAGAATGTCAGGAAGATAATACAACATGTTAATTTCAGGAACTGCATTTAAAATTGAGATCCAGGATATGATAAATTGCCGTGCAAACGAGTTTTTCGTCAATACACGTTCACGTAGTAAGGAAATGAAGGATGGCAAGTCAAAGACACTCGAGTTCTCGCTTATTATGTCTTTTAGTAAGCGATCCAGTAATTCTGAAGCATTTTTAACTGAAACATCTGGATCACTCACAAGTCGAGATAATGCACCAAATATTTCAGGCATAAACTGAATTATGTTCTGTCTTCCAATTTTAGCAATATTGTATAAACTTTCTGCTGCAAAATACCTCACACGAACGTCTGAATCAACCAAACAGTTGAGTACCGGAACTAATAGCTCGTTCATAAATATCTTGCAGTCAATTGGTCCTAATGCAATACAACAAGCAGCTGTAACAATTGATATGTGTTAGTCATTCGTCAAAGATACAGTAAGTTCACTTACCGATTGAGATTAATCCACCTTTTCTCTTGTTAACATCCTTACTAATACAAAACTGTGTAGCCAGTGTGTCAATTATCTTCTTTATCTGCTGATGATTCTTCGCTTTGTTATACTCGAATACCATTCTAATAAAATAATTAATTTAATTTATTGATAAAACAAAATTTCACTCAAAATTACTTTTCCACTTCTACACTTCCCAATTTTCTCTTCTCATAAGTTTTATCGGATAGAGCTTTTGCACAGCTTTCACTTAGCGACATTTTTGGCTTGTTAAATTAATTAAATTCTTGTAAAAACGATAAATACGAATTTTTATCAAAATACTGCTAATGTTTCAATGCTGATGTAAATAAAAACATTAATGTTCTGCATCACACAGTTTAGTGATGCGAAACTTTTGATCAAAACAATTTTTTTCACGTTTCATAAAAATCCTAAAATTATTTAATTAACGATGCTTCCAAAAGCCAATGGTAATATCCAGTTATAAAGTTTCATCCATTAAATGCTGTTAATTGTTTTTATATCTTCCAGCTTATGGATTATTTCGGATTATATCAAATAACTTGCCAAAAAGATTTTTTTCATCTGCCGCTGTATCCGAAATTAAGGAATTAGAGCTAGACACTCCAAAAATCGTCAATGGACGCGTAAATCCATTAACTCATCCCGATTACTTCAATGTCGGCAATTTATTCACTGTTCGAGATTTATTGGAAGCTCGAGTTCATTTTGGACATAAAGTTGGATCTTTAAATGACAGGATGAAACCTTATCTCTTTGGTTCTCGACTAGATTTCACAATATTCGATTTAGAACAGACAAAAGAGCATTTACAAAGGGCATTAAATGTAGCTGCACACACTGCAATGCAAGGTGGAATCATTTTATTCTTTTGTAGAAGTTCCATTAATGCACATACTGTCGAGAAAACAGCTTTGGAATGTGGTGAATTTGCTCATACAAGATACTGGCGTGGTGGCACATTCACAAACTCAAAAGTTCAATTTAAAGCTGTGACTCGACTGCCTGATTTATGCATTTTCTTAAATACATTAAATAATGTCATGCTGCAACATACAGCAATTCGAGATTCTGCAAAAATGAACATCCCTACAATTGGCGTTGTTGACAGTAACTGCTCGCCTGACTTGTTGACATATGTTGTGCCTGGAAATGACGATTCTCCAGCCTCTATTGAATTATACTGTAAATTATTTAAGGAAGCAATTTTAAGAGGAAAAGCAAAGCGAAAAGAATTCATAGAGGAACTAGAAGCGCTCGAAAAAGAGCAAGCATCTTAAATTATATTCAATGTCCAGAAATAGTATCTAATAAAATTCAGATTTTTAGGAATTTAAATAAATTTAATTTGCTGATCTGCTTTATTATCTATCAAACTAGTTATTTATGTATTAATTTCTTGGTGACTTTTTTGGACCTAAATGCCTTAATACTACTCACTCATCTTCTTTATCATATTTATTAGGTAATGGCTTAAAGGGATCTGACCAAACTCTCATATTTCCAGGCTGTACTTGCTCTTGATTAACACCTAAATAGTAGAAATAACAATTATCAAGGAGTTAAGTTAAAAAAAAAACTTAATTAAACTTACTGGCTCTTGTTTTCTTTTGAATATCCTTATACTTTTGTGGATTCATAATTGGCTCAATAGCTATAGGATATAATGTCAATGTTACTGCACCTACTAGACCTCCAATTAATGCTGCATATCGCCATCCAGTCCATGTTGGTTTTGCTGCTTTCTTCCTTAATTTCTGGAATTCGTCAGCATTCATTTTACTCATTTTTGTGCTGTATACTTTTTGCGTCACTGCCATTGTTTTTCGCATCATTGATGCAGAGCATTGAATGTTTCAATGTTTTTGTTTACATCAGCATTAAACGGAAAAAATATTTCGGATATTTCTAAAAATTAATTAATTTCCTCACTTCCAGTCACAATATGAGAAACTGCTTTGTGCCAGGATGTGACAGCTATTGCAAGGCAAAAAATTGTGCTCAAAGGAAGATGTTCTTTGCTCCAAAAGGTAAGAAATAATTCAGAATTCACAAATTTTTATAAACTTATAAATTGGATTGCAGAAATGTTTGAAAAGTGGAAGGAAAAGCTAGCAAATAAGCGCGAATTTAAGAAGAATGATAGAGTTTGTGAACGTCACTTTGAATCTAATCAAATTATAGAGTACTGGGAGAATAAAATCAATGGAATTGTACACAAGACAAAACGAGAGAAGCCTAAATTAGCACCAACGGCAATTCCAACGCTTAATATACCAAACTGGAATGACTTTAACTCACCGACATTACAGAAAAGGCAGTTTGATAAAGTGAAAATATTACATGCACAAATCATCAAAAGAGTTGCACCTGATGACTTGAAAAAAGATCTAAAATCACCAGTAAAAAAACTTAAGACTGATAATAACGAGATAGTCCTAAATACTCCACAGCAGGTTTCACCAACAAAGAGCATCACCAAATCAGAGCAAGTTGATGAAGATAATTTAGAGCTTTTTGAGAATCTCTACGACGAAGTTCATGACGTCACTTTACCCAATACACTATACGGAATTAACAGATGTCCTGAACGTCAATTTATTGTGTTCAATCAATTTAATTTTAAGAGTATGGGATTTAAAAAATATCTCTTTATTGATAGCTCTCTTAACTGTAAGGTTTATAATAATGGCAGTGTAGAAACGACCAAATTACTTAAAGATAATTGTAATACCGAGTTCATTAGCGAATGGCTTGACAAAATTGATAAAATGTGAGTTATAAACCGCTAATATCTAGTTCCAATAATCAGCTTTGAATAGAATTAAATCACATTTAGAATAAGATGCATTGTACATAACTGACTAAAGTATGCATGATAATTATCAAGACATACTGGATAGAAAATAAATTATTTATTGGATAAAACATACGTGATGCATATTTTAAGGTTTAGAATTTACTTAAATACGGCACATATGACATACGTTTAATAATTTAATACGACTATTTAAGTTTCAAGCTTCTAATACAAATGCGTTACAGACAGAAATGTCACATGTCAGTAGTCTTTTGTACTTGCTTACAAGATATAGCTTTAGAAAGTCGTAAGGCCTCGACGATTTTTTTAGGATTATTGCTCAACGGAAAAATTAAATTTGAAATTCACTAATACTATATTACAAAACAACAAAAATTAAATTCTCAAATATCTTAATTATTCAATCATTATTCCCAAATATTATGATATGATTACAAAAAGTAGATGATACGTTGGCTATTCTGCCTATTTTAAGAGTTTTAATATCATTATTGAGTGATATTTTCATGATTTTTTAAATTTCAAAAATTATTCGTGAGTGACCCTTAATTAAAGTGATTTTCTGGAGCAACTGCTTAACTTTAGGAAGTAAGTTGTATGTCAAAAGATAGAAATTTTTGTTTCCTACAAGATAAAATAACTTTGAAATTTGTCACTATTGTGGTTTCGGAGATATTTAAGATTTTAAAGCGTCACTCACGAATAATTTTTTTTCGTCGGGGCCCCAATAAATTATAAGAATAAGAATGTTGAGAAATTATTAAAGGAAGCAGCACCAAAAGGAATCGATTGCTATTTTGATAATGTTGGTGGAATGCTAAGTACAATAGTCATAGATCATATGAGGAATTTTGGTCGAATTTCAATTTGTGGAGCAATAACTAGTTATAATGATCAGACTGTAATGGTGCCAGCATTTAAATCTTTTTCATCGCAATAATTTGAGAATGGAAGGTTTTATGAACTATCGTTGGATTAACGTATGGATGGAGGACGAAATGTTTCAAATGCTCAAATGGATACAAGAAAGAAAGATCAAGTGTCAAGAGACAGTCACTAAAAGGTTTGAGAATTTACCACAGGCTTTTATTGACATGTTTAATGGGAAAAATTTTGGAAAAGCTATCATGAAAGTTTGATTTCAAATCATGAAAATTTTCCTTTAAAACCCTTCAATTTCAACTTAATTAAGGAATTGAAAGGTTCTAGAACATTCTACAATACTAAGTTCAAAAGTGAAAACATTTGTACAGTTTTAAAAGTTCAAACATTTATGAGGCTTTAGAAAAACAATTGTACAGCTTTCATTTAAATATTAAAAGTTATTGAAGCCTTTCAAAAGCATTCATAGTGACTGAATTTGATATTATTCCACATCCAATGCATAAATAAAACAAAATTGAGATCAGAAATGCCATCATGAGATAAATGAACACGAATAGAACAATCTAAAGGATAAATGACTAAAGCTCGTCATGTTATTCATAAAAAGGTTGGAATACTTACGATTTTTATGATAAACAGCATGGACGATAAAATCATATCCGCGAACGTCTGACTCTCATTTAAGCTCCTTCTTACCCTTTTCAAGACTTTCCTTCGATCATCAATTTTCACTTTTTCTACAGTTTCATTAGTTTCTTCAATAAAATTATTAAATATTCCAGCATGCATCGTTTTAAGCTCATCAATTGAGAAAACTTGCTTTAAATTGCGACATGAGTTTGTTTCATAATCATAAATCACATTCGGATCATTTTCACAAACTTTTACAGGCACACAATGTGGGTTTTGGAAGTAATTTCGCTTCCCAAAATACTTTAATTCGCAATCAATTGGCTTGCATTTATTGAACGGATTCAAGTCTTCAAAATCACATTTTTGGTACCCAAATTTATCTTTCATGTCATTAAAATAATCTGCAAAGGAATTGTTATAGAAGCAGCATTTGTAGTTGACTGGCATTAGAACTTACAAAACATAAAGTCACGAATCTTGTCTGTAGTAATTGTTGTATTAAAATGAATCATTCGCGTGTCATCAACGTGAGTTCCATCAGCACGATGAGAAATTGCGTTAATTGTGCAGTTACCGACTCGATTATAAAGAATTAACGTTGGCCATAATAAGGACACTGGAATTTGCTTGTCTGGTTCCAAATTTGATATCTTCACGCCGTACGCATTCTGTGTCTGAGATGTATATGAATAAGACTTGAAACAAAAATTTAATATCAGCTGAAAGCACTTACATCACATTCATAAGTTCCATTAATCAATAAGCAGCATTTGTCAGATATAATGTCAAAATTTAACGTTTGCTTAGGTTCTGAACCTTTATTTGATATTAAAGCATCAAAAATCAATCCAAAATCGTTTTTCCTCAAATGCCTTATTTTAATGCTATCGATGACGATCCTTGACTGTTTGGAAGGAGCCAGGAACGATAGAAATATAATAAATGTTGTTAAAATCATGTTAAAGACTGGAATTTTTTGCAAATATATAATTATATAATAAAAGCTTGCTGCAATAAAATAAGTTGAAAACCTCTCAACATAATCTTCATTAATTCTTATAAAAGTCATCTTCAAGTGCAAATAGTAATGACGAATTGTTCGACTTTTTCTCGACTTTCTTCTTTTCAGGAATGTTGCGTTCGTTGACGATCACACACTGTGCTACATTATTTTCTCGAGCAGACATAAATGGCTTCATGACGCTCTCAAATCTTTCCTTATCACTTTTATGTCGAGTTTCTGAATAACGCAAATAATTATTTGACCCTTTTGTTTCTGATTCAGTCTCATCTTTAGTCAAGTCAAAGATTTTTTCAACCGACTTTGTTGGCTGTTGAGTAATTGTTGACTGAGGCTTATACGTTGATGGCTGTGGCTTGAAATTCGGTGATTGAACTTTTTTAACATCAAATAATTGTGGTTTAAAGCCAAATTGTTCTAGTTTCGGATAGTTTGATGTTGATGGAAGTTTGAGCTTCTTCTGTGGCTGTAACTGATTGTTTTTGCTATTTTCTGGCACTCTGTTTGACATATCGACATCGACATCAACATTATTACATTTATTTTGAATAAATTGTAGTAAATCGAGTGGATTTTTACTTTGAGCATTTGGATAGAAGTTTAACAGCAGTCGAAGTAGTTGTGAGATGGAAATGGAATTGTTGACAAGGAACTCGAACAAATTTTCAAGATATAATTTCATTTCTTCGTCATTAAACGTAAAAAATACCAAATATCTTCTTGTCATGCGACATGCCATCAGCTGAATTAATGCAGATTTGATTGGATGTCCATTAAATGCTCCACATCCCCAAAAACCACTTGCAATAGCTTGTTTACTTTTGTATTGATTGTAAAAGCCTGAATATGCTTTATTAAGTTCACGTATGAGATTTGCTTCTGTGAACTGTTCCTTATAATTATCGTACCTAAAAGCATCAATAGCTACAATTTGGCACTTCTTTCTACGGAAATTATCAGATTCGGTCTTGTCGATAAAATTTCCAGCAAATCTAAAATTTGTGGCATATCCAAAGTAGCTGTTAAACTGTTCAGTTCCAATCATTATAAATGATTCTTCATTTTCAAGACATTCTGTGAATAATCGAGCAACAATCAATTCAGGATTCATACAAAATCTGATTTCTTCTTGAACAGCTCCATTTCCTAAAACTCCACCGCCTATAGCTTTATTAGCAAAATCCACTTGAAGCATTCCTGATGCATCCTCGATTTTATTTTCGGATGTTATTGAATATTTTAGATTTTGAAACGTTTTAATTTCTTCCTTCCAATTTGGAAATTGATTTCGTTGTATTGATCGTCTTGTAAATGTCAAAATGCCTTTTGGCATCTCTTTTATCACTCTTTCGAAATAATTAATAATACATTTGAGTTTTTCTATCACTTTTTGATCCTCGCCATTAAATAACTTGTGGAAGTTGATATCTGGATAATTACCATATTCTGATTCTCTTTTCGTTGTATTTCTTCTTGGGAATGTACATAGAAAAGCATTAGCTAATATTGTTGCTGCTTGTTCCTGTGTCATTGAAATTGACTTATTCATTCCTTTTTTGAGCAATGGAATTGAACATTTAATCAAGTCTGGCATTTTTAATGCTAAATCTATGATTTTTGGAAGTGTTATTCTTAAGAATTTGTTCTTGTTTGCTATATCCATTTGTGATTCTATTAATATATGCAGTGCTTTAAAGTTCCAGATCTTCTCATATCTTGTGTTGTAGCTTATAATAGCATTTTCTAAATCATGGCTTGTAGTGTAGTCAGTCTTTAAGCTCTTGATTATAAGATCCCATCTAAATCTCATGTTCTTCTTATTACCGTCATAAATTTCAACAAACTTTGATTCCTTTGAAAATGGCATTCGTACATGATCACCGTCCCATTTTTCTACTGATATATGTGGTCTTAATGTCTCGTGGATCATAGGAAGTTCAAACAGCACTAAATGATCCTTATTGTGATAAAATATCTCCTAAATTCACAAAGAAAAATGTAAAATCGTGAAATTACATGATTAAGTATAATTACCTCACATGACGATTGTGACGATGAATACCTAGGGTCGTTATCACTATCACTATTCATAATATTCCTTAATTAACGTAGATTTCATTAAACTTCAAAGTTGTCAATATTGACATTTATTTTTTATTTTTTCATAGTTTTGCACCCCTCGTGTTTACAATTAAAAAATTAAAGATTGAAAACATTATTTAATTAATCACAGTCGAACGTGAGTTGCCATGGAAGAGATTCTAGTTCCAATTAAAAGAAAACGTGTTGTTCTAACGCTTGAACAAAAATTGGAGGTGATTAAACTAAAGGATGAAGGTAAATTATTGACTTTTCAAAGTTTTCATTAAATTAAACTTAATTGACTATGCAGGAAAGTCATTCTACGATATAGCATCAAGATTTAACATAGGAATAAGTACAATTAAGGATCTTCTTAAGAAACGAAGCCAGATTAATGAAGCTGTCCAAAAGAATAAAGTTTTTGGATTTTCAAGAAAGACGCTCAGAGAAGGTAGCAGACCGGATGTTGAAAGTTTGCTATATCAATGGGTTTGTCAACAACTGGATCAAGATGAAATTATCACCAACAACATGCTCCTCACTAAAGCAACTGAAATAACTCGAGATTTAAAGCAGGAAGAGTGGAAACCATCGAATGGTTGGCTTAGTAAATTCAAGCAGAGATACAATCTTACAGCTGTTAAGGAAGAGTTTGTCAGTGCCAACAGTTTTATATTTGAAGAAAGCTACAAAGAAGAGTCCGAAGAAGATATGACTGAAGAATTAAAACCGGAGTCAATTGAATTATACAATTATGCGATTGAACCTCCTCAAATATCACCACTGGAAGCAGCTGATCGCTTGCTGGATTACGTGACAGCACACGACTTTCCATTAAAAGAGATAATTACACTACGAATGATACGTGATAGAATTATTGAAATGCATGAACCCAAGTTAGAATAAGTTGTAGCTTTAAATAATTTGGTGATGAGCTTTTTCAGTTCCAATTACAACCCGAAGTCTTAAGTTTTTTGAAATTTTTTTCTTCTTAGCAATTAAGTTAATTAAGAAATAAAATGTCAACAGAATTTCTCTCCTTTTTCTTTATTTCTACTTATTTCCACTGATTCTCATTATTAATTATATTTTTGGAAAGAAAATTGTTGACACTGCAGAATTCTTATGGAGATAAAAGAATGCTTTATTATTTATTTGGTTGAACATGAGATTTGCAGTGACTTCACGCAACTTATTAAATCGTTTACAATCATAATAATTAATTATACAAAAAAGAAAGAAAGGATACATTTATGTCAGTGCAAATTCACACGGAACTTCGGTAGAAAAAAAAAGATTAATTAATTTAAAAGAAAAAAAAATCCAAGTTGTATTAATGAACACAAACATAATGCTGTTGTGCTGTGACTTTCTTAATCTTTGTGTACGTGTTGTTCACGATCTTTGATGATTGAAAAGTCAAGTCTCATCCAAATAATCACAAGCAAGAAGAAGAGATACAAGAATACCACAACTAATAATGGTTCTTGTAACATCATGATTCGTGAAAATTGATATTTGACATTAAAGTCATTAATATGATTCTCAACTAAATTAGTCTTACGGAATGTAATGACTGGACGTCCAGTAATGTCCAAATAGGTATAATGTAATGTATCAGTCATTCTATCGACTGCATATGGTGCTATTAGCTTAATATTCTTACATCCTTCAGGCAAGATGACTTTTGTGATAAGTTCATCAACAACCATGTCGTCAAAAACGTGATCAATAACGCGCATCTTCAACATGTAATTTTCGCCTTTATGGAATAAATATTCAAAGCTTGGAACATTGTAGCCAATTGTATAATGAGTTCTCCATCCACCAAATAATGGGAATCGAGGACGAAGATCTAATTCAACTGAATCCTTTAAAACTCTCATAGCCGAAGTTGAAATATTTCCATTTGTGTCACGATAGTAAACTCCACTAGCTGATGCTGGCAAGATTGTTTTGTATGACTTTATACTAGCTGGGCCACTTCTCGAGTCCTTTTGATAATCATATCTTGAGAATGATCCTTTCAACAAAGCTCCGGAATGGATAATATCGATAGTTTCTTCAACAGCTACATTTCCCCAATGTGATACCTCAATCGTTCGTTCTAATCTTGTAATTGTCATGAATGGAGTGTTGTTTTCGTAGTGAATCACAATTTCGTACTTTGAATTAGCTACAATTAAGTAGTAAGACATGATTATTAAGTTGTTTTTTTTGAGTATTAAAATAAAACTTACGTGCGATATTCTCATAGGGTCCATATGAAATTTGAGTATCAGACTGTGATGATGGCTTAAGTTGTGTGAAACTCTCGACACTTTTGGATGCAAGATGTACGATTGTCTTTTGAGCTAAAGTCTTGTATGGTGAATAGAAGTAGGCATTTCCAAAGTATCTGATCAATTGTCTATCACCTTGAACAATTTCTGTTGGATATGGCTGCAGTACTTTTGCGTAGACTGTCTCAATATAAATTGTTGGTAAACTTCCAGCCGACAACGTCATCGAATAAGAACATTCTGTTAAAGTCTTTGATTGCGTTAATTTTATTTCCTTTTTGTTTGCATCACGTGCTGAGATGAATGATAGATTGTTACAGTCATCAATTGGAGCCACAAAGACATAATTATTTATCGGCTTTTTCGACTTGTGGTCCAATGTGATTTTGTAAGAAATTTTCACCAATTGTGATGTTATGTCAATGGTTCTATCCACATTCTTGTTCTCTACTTCATTATCGATCGAGTTACATACGATGGAATTAATTAGATACACCAGAAACAGAATAATACTTAATTTTCTCATTTTTCTCTGAATTATCCGGCTTATTGTATTGACGTGTGAAAAAGACAAGTACGATACTCTTGCTTATCGATTCTATAGCTTGACACAAGCGCTTTTTCTCTTCACTAATGACTCATTTTAATTCTATTTATGTAAATTATTGGATGTGATTAATTAATTCAGTTTTTAAAATTATTTCAAATTTACTCTTCATTTTGAATTCAAGTTGGGTATAATAAATGACAGGCAGACAAAGAATAACAAAACAAGACAAATCATTAAAAAATGATAACTCTGAGCAGATAGAATCTAGTTTCAAAAATTTAACGGTATTTTCTGAGGAGATGAAATTTTTCGTTTCAAATTCTTAAAAACTGTTTATCTTAAAGTTTGTTGTTAAAATCACAAATAGGAAATTTAATTATAAAACAAGGATGGAACGAGATCAAATAGTATCGCATATTGAAAAGAAGCTTAATAATTGGATAACAAGCTTAAGGGACCTTGAAAATCTTGCAAGTGATTTGGAATTGGACGCAATAGAGCTGTCAAATGAATGTTCCTCGAGAAAATCATTGCTTGAAATTTTACAACAAGATTTTAATTATGATAGAAATGATTTGAGGACATTTACAAGCATCCAAAGAGATTGTTCAGCAGAAGCATATATCAAACAATTGGAAAATACAATGGAAGTTGTAAGTTAAAACTAATAATTACTTCAAGGACCTTCAACTGTATCTGGGCAAGACCGTTTTTCGATTAAGTGTCAGATTTTGATGGTTTTTTGTCTATTACTCTTAAACGACAAACCTAACAATAAAACTTGATATATTGTTTTATAGAACTTTTTGATGCCTATCTTTTGGTATATAAATTTTTTACGAAAGTCCTATACTTAAGGTTGTGGAGTCTTAAAAGTGACAAAATCTGACACTGAATTTTTGGGAAGGGTATTTGAAATTTTACTAAAACTAGTCTATCTCGCTTAGTTTTACACCGATTTCGATAGTTTTTTCAGCAATAGATAGTTTAAAACTACAGTTATCATTAAAAAGTAATAAAATCAAAATGGCGACTTAATAAGTTAATTTAATTAATGTTTTTAACCTTATTTTCCTATATTTTACTTTGAATTTTTAACTTACTCAACTTGTTTCTTGACACAAATATAGTTTTAGACCTTGGCTTTATGATAGAAGCCAAAAAATTTTGAAAAAAGTAGTATAATTAACTTTTTTGGTCATTTTTTAAAATTGCCTTTAAATAGCAATTGAATAGATATTCTTTTAATTTTATGATGTAAAATGATAATTATACGTCAAATATGCTTAGTTCTAGCAAAATATATCACAATATAATGTTACAGAACAAGAAAAAAGCAAAAACTTTAAAAACTTTAACCAAAAATTTATAACCGTTTTTGAAAATTTAAATTTTTTGGTTGATTAAAGAGTTGTAAAATAAACTTTTACTTAAATTAATAACCATCTATATGCTGTATCACACAGGTGATGAATAAATACCGTAAACTAGCCCAAAATCAACTACAAACATCGAATAATGAACTAAAAGAGAAATTGACTGAGCAAATCGATAATTGTAACAAATGCCGTGCCTTAATTGATCAGAAATGTTCAATAATTAACACCCTAGTTAAAATGATGGATGAATTTCTTTTAGAAGGCAATCAAGTTACAAATAAATTATTAATAGAGAATATGTCTTTAAAAACTGAAAACGTAACATTGCGTAAAATTGTAGCTGCTGCTGAGAAATATGGCATTAAGGAAGAAAACAACAACAACATTAACACCTCATAAATGCATGCATCTGTTTAATTTTAATCATAAGCATGCCAAGGTCAATTTTAATATCTTTCAAAATTGTAAATTCAATAAAGATTGCAGGATGTTGATATAAATAAGGAGTTAAGCGTGTCTTAAAGGTACTAATTTTCGTATGTACTAATGATAAGCATGAATCAATGTTGTGGGTGCCTGGTTGAAAACATTGAGTTGAACAATGAACATTGATTTCCTATTTAAAAAATAGGAGACAAGCCACTAAAGTAGCAAATAAACTAAGCATTTTCATGACAATAATTTTTGGTACCACACAAGGTGGTGTTTTATCTGGTCTATTCTTTAATATTTATGTTAATTCTATATTTCGCATTCAACTATCTGGTAAAATTTGGCTTTACTGTGACGATATGTCAATAGTAAATTTTGCACCAAACTCACAAATCTTGAAAGAAGAAATTGAAAATGACCTCAAACTAATTAGCAACTGGCTCGAAATTCACATTCTAGCACCAAACATCTCTAAAACCAAATACATACTTTTTCACAACAAAATGCGATTCGAAACTTTCACTGAGCAGGCTTTAAACATAAAATTCAAAGATATAACAATCGAGCGTGTGGAAGTAGTTCAAATACTAGGCATTAAAATTGATGAAACGCTATCCTTCAAATGGCACATTCAAGCAATACAAAATAAAATAATTTCATTCACCTATGCCTTAAAAAGAATTACTTATCTTTTATCTTATAAAACTTTGATAATGTTGTACTATGAACTTTATTTGGGCATCAATTACACAAAATTTAATGCAATCAATTGAAATAACACAACGAAAAGCTCTTAGAGTCGTTTTAAAAAAAAGCTGGCATTGTAGTAGAAGTGAACTATATAGTGTTAAAATTCTACCAGTATCGGCACTTTGTAATGTGAGCACATGCTTACAAATTTTCAAGATCTCAAAACAATTACTTAAAAATAACATTCAAATACACACAGCCAGTCAATTCCACCAACATACAACACGTCATCGTGAAACCTTCGTTGCTAGGAAATATAATTCCGTCTTAGGTAGTCATATATTTTATATACGAGGTCCTAATCTTTTCAATACAGTGCCACAAGACACTAAGAAATTTAATTCAATAAGCATTTTCGAAAACCGTATAAGGGAACATTTTTTCGAAATTTATTGTAATGCAAATAATATTAATAATTAAAAAATTTTACAAATTAAAATCATAAATTGTCATAAATATTCATAGCACAATTGAAAAACATTAAATTTAGAGTCCACATTCAATTAAATTCTAATAAATGAGTGTCACTTCCAACATGTTAGACATTGATACTTTAATCAGATTGATGTTACACATGCAAAGCTTCTTCTTCCTAGTCCTAGATGACACTCAATAATCAAAATAACCGAAAGTCCGAAAATATCCTTCAAAACTAAGTGCTACCTCGCGACATCTCTGGTTAAAAGTACTGAACTATCCACATTTCCAACCAAAGATTCTCAAAATATTTTCCAATCACCCCACAATGTTTTACCACCCACTCAGCATGCTTACTAAAACATTGTACTAAGAATAGCTCAAGAAAACAATATAGCATTTTCGCTGGTGATTAATAGACGGACTACTTTGCCCTAATAAATCCTTTTATTGCATGCAATTTGTGTACTATTGTGAAACATGAAAAAAATTACACAAATATGTGTAATAGACAGCGAAAGATAATCAAATAAAATTTATCCTTGCCTGATATTAAAACAATCTTTTATCCTGTCCTTCTTGCTATGCCTACTCCTTTCTTCTTTGTTTTTAATGAGCAGTAATAAATATTTGAATTTATTTACGGTATGATGCTATAAAGTTCAATGTTTGTTTGCCTTGAGACTTTTAAAGGTATCGTGGGAAGTGTTTTCAACACCTTAGTAAGCAGTAGAACTCCTACGTATTGTTTAAAATCAATTTTGTCGTCAATTCAATAAATGCATCATTATTAAATTCAACAATAACATAAAATTTTGTTTCTTAAGCTTCATAAATAGATTGCGGCAGTAATTCTATGAAATTTTGCTAAGTATACCGTTTATCACCTTTATTAATCTTCTCCTTGATTATACGTCATTAAAAAGTTCTAGGAAGAAGCATTGAGTGGGAACTCTTTTGATCTCAATCATGACAAGCTTTTAATTTCAAGGAATTCTTTTATGACTTCAATAAGGTTTCACAACTGATGGTTTCAAATTTCATATAAAGGGGCCGTTTAATTATGACGTCCGAAATTAACAGTCATTTTTCAAAAACAAACAATGGATTTCCAGGAATTTCTATTGTTTTTTTCTGTCTGACCCCCCCACCCCCTCGACGTCATAAGTGAACGGCCCCAAATTATTACGTAGGTATTTTAACATTTTCTATTAAGGCTTCTTGAAAAAGTGCTTTGAGATGCCTTTGATAATCATAACAGTGATCAAATTCGCTGCTTATTCTTTTTATGTTCAGAAATAGTTTTTAGGTAGGTAACAACGTTGTTTAAATATTCTAGACCAACTACATTTTCAGGTCTTCCTCAATCAGTTATGGATGTTATTAGTAAACGACTCTTCTCATTTAATTACAATTTTCTGATAATAAACGGAAATCAATTACTTGCATCCAGGAACAGCAATTGCACTTCTATTATTCGTAGAGATAGGAACAGTTGACTCAAAACAGTTGAGACATGAATTAATTGAACATGTCACTTTTGTTATTTGCTTTTAATCTTCTGCTATAGATATTCTTTTGTTATATGTTTAGAAATATCACTTACATCTTGCAATACAAGCTCAACTCCATAAATATTATAATTACTAACGTTGCTTCACATCAGACTCGTGTAAAATTAAATGAATTGCAGCATGCATGAAACTAATTTTCCTTACATGATTTTACATTCTATAGTGAAATGAGGCGAAAAGCCTCCAAATGTCGCTAGTATGAGGAATTGTTCTACAGTTATTCTTCAAATGATGCATGAATTCGCATTAAATTTATTACAACGTAATTTATGTTGATTTAAAATTAACTTTTTGCAAGTCTTTAGAAGTAAGAAATGGTTGTGGAATTAAAGTAGGAAGAAGTTAATGATGAAAAAAAGGTATCGAGATGATGAAAACAGCAAAAACCATGTAAAATTAAAAGGTCAAATTCGGTTAATTTATTTATGGCGCTACAAATTAAGGACGAAAGAAATGGTGTCAAATTTTATGACGCGCTAGGGATTATTTACAAATGACGTTTGTCATGATTTAAGGATTTTGAAGTTAATGCTAGTGAACCAGTTATAATTCCATCTATTTGTTAATGACTTTTTTCAAGGTAGGTAAATCCTACTCGTCATTTATGAACAACCCTTTTCATAGACAACCACGAGTATAAGTTGTAATTTAAGAAGATAACGAAAAAAAGCACAAATATTGTATCTCCTTTCATCGTAATGAAAAAAAGATCAAATCTCTGCTTGAGGAACAAAATTAGTATAATTATGAGAAAGCCATAATCATCTTAGCAAGCTTATCAGTTTCTATGGAATCCTATTATGAGATATAAATTTGGTGTAACGATAATTTGACATCTGAAACTAAGGCTTTTGAAAAACAAAAAAGTTTCTGTGTAAATCAATAAGCCTCAATGGATATCCTATGGTAATTTTACCGTAGCAAATTCACTTTCCTGTTTCCTTTCTCTCAATCCAGTCTTGATCCACAGAAAGAAAACGCAAAAAAAGAGATCCGAAAAATTTTGACATGAGACTTAAGAAAATCCTTCCTGGAAGCGATATAGCTTATAATTCTTTTCTGTTCCTTATTTCTTCTTCTTATTTTCTGGGAAGATTGAAAATAAATGAGATTTTATGTTGGATTATAATTGAGGATGGAAAATAATAATGGATTTTTCATTTTGCACAGCAGTTTTATCACATCCTGTTGTGAATTCGAGAATTGGACAGTTTTAAAAAATGCACAGCATTAACCTTAATCTATTCGATACATTTGAGTTTGTAATCTAATGCGAACAGAGCAGTTCCATGAAAAAGTGATGAGAGGATCTTGTTTATTAATATTCAATAAAGCAATTTTAGCTTCAAGGACTTCCAAATTATTCCATTTACTTGCGATTCGTTTCTCCATCAAAAAGCAATAGGTGCTTAATGCTTTGTTGAAAGGAAATATCTTCATTTTATCTGTCTACGTATTTTCATTCTCGTTTTTATTCCTTTAGCAATGTAAATCGCTTTTGTTTTTCCATTCTTTTCTCTTTTTTGAGTGTCTGTTCAGCAATGACGTTTATGACAAAACTGGATTTTTGATCCTACTTGGCTTTCACAGGTTTGTTCTTAACTTAAAAATTTCAAAAACTCCTTGTTGTTTGTGATATCAAAGGTAGGATGTCAAATTGAAAAATCCTATTGCGTTACCTAATATTCGAATAATTCCATATTTCCCTTCAACAAATTATACGGTACTTGCTCGTTGCTCATTGCCTTTCTTTTTATTATGCATTATTGTGTGCTCCTTTTGTTTAAGCTCCTCTCTCTTTTTTTTTGCAGCCTCTTCTAATGAAATATTCAATGGAAGAAAATGTTTTGCTCGCTTATTTTCATTTCCGGTAGTTTTTGCTTTCTCTTTTATTTTATGATCTTCTTCCTATCAACTTTAATGTTTAATATTTTTTCACATTTATTTTTCAAATAATTTTAAGCTTTATAGGTATTAAGATTTAGGAAAGGTTTCTTTTTTAAATTTGTTTAAAGTGTCTTTATAGCTGGAAAAGATCAAACTAATGTCATTTTTGTTATAGTTTGAATAGGTTTGAATTAAATTGTGTGAATTCTTTAATTTTTAAAAAAGTTTTGAAGATAATTTCAATTGAAAAAGTATAAACATTTCGAAACTTTGTTGATGTAACTTAGAAGTATTCTATGAAGTTTTAAAAGCACCTTATTGCGATTCTCATTCAAATTATTCAGCAAAGTATAAAAAATAATGATTCATTTAAGAAGTAATTTCATTTTACATTTTTTTTTTCATAATAATTCTTCTGAATAAATT